TTCCTTTAAAATTCTGTCTTTTTTATTTACCAAAAACTCTAAGAGGGAATCGGTCCCGAAACCATCTGAGGACATTTTGGACTGAAACCCAGTGGAAGCGCACAGAGCTGCGGCCGGAGGGGAGCAGCGGGGGGTCTGTGTTTGTCGCCTACCTGATCCGGGCGGCGAGGCCTGCAGGTGATCTCTGCTGTAATGTCCGTACTGTCTGTAGCTGTTCGTGTAGGGATACTCGGACTTGGTCGCGTACGCTCCCGCCGCTCCCATCCCGTTCAAGTTGAACTGGTGGTGGTAAGAGTTCACGGGTTGTCCGTACGCCTGGCTCTGGTAGAACTCGTGGTGGCCGTGGGCCGTCTGCCCGCTGTAGTAGCCCATGTCCGTCACCGAGGACTCGGGGAGAGTCGGGGAGTCCTTGGAGCTCGGGTGGCAGCCCATAGATCCAGGGAGGTCCGTCAGAATACTCGCGATCTTCTTCTCGTAGCTCTGACCGGCGCTCATGATGAAAGAGACGCTCCGGATTGTTAAAGCAAAAAGGAAGACAAAAAATAAAAACACGAAGAAGAAGAAGAAAATCAGTCCTCCCCCCCACCCCCTCCTGATGGATTGATTAGCTCTGAGGTGTCGCGTCAGGAGCAGCAGTGTTGTGCACTCCGAGGGTGTTGCTGAGGATATAGTCCACTGAAACTCTTCCAGCTGCAGAAACTTTCTAATGGCATCGCTCAGCCTCTGAGGCGCAGAGTTATAAAGAGCTGAGCTGCTATCCGCCTTCCTATTGGCTGCCCTCCCTCCCCCTTCTCCCCCTGCCCCCTCCTCCCTCTGCGCTCCGGGCGCAGTCTTGATGGAACCCAGCCTTCAGCCGGGGGCGCATATGCACTCGCTGCCCCCCATAAACTCATTTTTCTGAACGTTTACCTGCGAGCCGCGCGGGCTCTGCACACGTTGAAACGAGGTCAGCACCGATCTGACCCCCCCCCCCCTCCCCCCCCCCCCACCCCCTCCGATGTTGCAACACGGTGCGGCGGGCATGTTTTCCAAAGACTAATCCTGCAGCCAGACCGTCTCCCTAATGTTTTATGCAATGTTTTCTTAACAATGCCTTGAGATCACGCTTTACTGAACGACTGCCAGCCGGCTTCCCACTGACTGCTGTTGTCATTTAAAGGCAGCGGAGGACTGGGAAGTTCTCATGAAATGCAATGGAAGAGAGAGAAGGAGAACAAGAAGAAGTTTAAAAAAAAAGGTTCAACTGATGTGTCCTGAGGGTGAATTCCTCTCTCCGCTCATCTTGTTTGTGAATATGCAAATCAGCACAGCTACAAGTTGACCGCACTGAGGCGAGCAGTGACAGAGGTAAAGGAGATATTCCTCTAACACATTCAAATAAATCAAATATTGAATCAGTTTTATTTAAACAGCTCTTTCGTCTTATTTCTCTGGCTCGTCTGTTAATAATACGGTGCACAGCGCCCCCTTGTGTAACAAGTGGTAAATCTTTTTTTTGCATTTTACCAATTAGGTTTCTGTTTGTAAACATAGCGCCAGTTCACAAGCGTCTCAATAAGGTGATTCATACTATGAAGTTGAAAAAAGAATAAAATGGGGCTTGACTTTCTTTACCGCCTCAATAGAACTTGTTTCCACTCCAGTCATCTGCAACCAGCAATTTCTGATACAACGTCGCCCCCTTCTGGCCACAACCGGAAATTCACACTTCACAAGGCACTGTTATGATGATGATTAAGATGATGATGATGATGATGAAGAAGAAACCAAATCATATTTACCTATCTTTAAAACACTCACAAAAAACATGTTAAAATAGGAGTTTTGTGTGTAGAGTTTTGAAGAAATATGAAGTTAAAATGACAGAAAATTTGAAAAAGTATAGTGCAATGAATACCTGCTGCATGCAGTGAATACCTGCTGCATGCAGTGAATACCTGCTGCATGCAGTGAATACCTGCTGCATGCAGTGAATACCTGCTGCATTGGGCTTTTGTGCTAATTTGAACAAACTGTGCAGTCTCTTTGTTTGGATAATTCTTATTTCTATAAATGCTTTGTTTTGGTGATGAATTTGCTAAATTAAAATAGACACTTATATATTTTTACACATATATTGTAAATTCTTTCTGATAAAAGCAGCTCCTCAGCTCAGAACAATGCTCACTCCTGTCCTGAAATGTAGCCACAAATTCCTCATTGGCTCTTCTGGTCCTCTACATGCATCCTGTTTCTCATTTCATACGTCGTTAAACGTGTTTCTGTTGGGACCCAGTCATGAAGGACTGAACAACTTACAGGAAACAAAGAGTCTGACAACTGCTAATCCCAGAATGCATTATCAGTTTCTAGAAGGAACAGGAAGCACAGCAGCTGAAGCACCCAACACTGGGCCTGGCTGCTGGTGGTGCATTCCAGTTAACTGGGACGTGGGAACTCAGAACTGGGTTGGACGTCTGAGTTCCCACGTTGGGTAACAGGGTTCTAGTTAAGAGGCCAGAATTGTAACTTGGTTACATCCACAGACATTGTTTGCAGTAACTCTTACAAACATTTTAATGTTTACTTTCCATAAGCAAACACCCTTTTAATTTGTTCAGTTTAGAGTTGCAGGCACTGCATGCAATATTGATTTTAGATGCACAGTCACAAAGGTGTCTTGTAAAATAAACGTTTCCACAACATCCTACTAAATGTTAACGCGAGGAGCGGCCATTTTGAAACACAAAGTGAGCCTCATAAATCGTCATGGGGTAGTGGGAGTTGCTCCCATGCTTCCAGACTTTGGAGGGCCTTTTGATTTTTTTTCTCCGACTTTGAAGTGAGAATTTCCCATTTTTGACTACAGCTGGAATACAGCAAAACACCCTGCCTCTTTATTGCAGGGAACTACAATGGTGAGGCACAGACAAGCATGTGAATCCCACATCTTTGTTGGTAGAGACAAGGAGAATCTCATCCTTTGGGGAACCCTGAATCCAAAGTTAAACTTCTATCTACTATCTACATTCTGTCTTATTCAAAATTCTGCAGGACTCTTTAAACCACAGATTCCCTAAAGAGAGATGTCTCTGATGGTTCTCTCTCCACTGTCCTGTGACAGACTGCAGTTTCACGCTGGCTGTCTTGCTGCTCCAGCTGCATGTTTCTCCAAACAGTACTGCTGCCACCGTCCTGCCTCAAGTCAAGGATGATCACCAGCTGGGTGACCACAACTGGTTTTCCCCACCGAGAAGCAAAAGCACCTCTGATCACTCTTATGATGGATACATTTACAGTTAGGGCCAGAAATATTTGGACAGTGACACAGGTTTTGTTATTTTAGCTGTTGACAAAAATATGTTCAGAAATACAATTTATATATAGTATGGGCTGAAAGTGCACACTCCAAGCTGCAATATGAGAGTTTCCACATCCAAATCAGAGAAAGGGTTTAGGAATCATAGCTCTGTAATGCAGAGCCTCCTCTTTTTCAAGGGACCAAAAGTAATTGGACAATGGACTCCAAAGGCTGCAAGTAACTCAAAAGGCCTTTCCTCGTTAACCTGTAATCAAGTAAGTAGTTAAAAGGTCTGGGGTTGTTTCCAGGTGTGTGGTTTTGCATTTGGAAGCTGTTGCTGTGACCAGACAACATGCGGTCAAAGGAGCTCTCAATTGAGGTGAAGCAGAACATCCTGAGGCTGAAAAAAGGAAAAAATCCATCAGAGAGATAGCAGACATGCTTGGAGTAGCAAAATCAACAGTCGGGTACATTCTGAGGAAAAAGGAATTGACTGGTGAGCTTGGGAACTCAAAAAGGCCTGGGCGTCCACGGAAGACAACGGTGGTGGATGATCGCCGCATACTTTCTTTGGTGAAGAAGAACCAGTTCACACATCAACTGAGGAACACTCTCAGAGAAGTAGGTGTATCTGTCTCTAAGTCAACAGTAAAGAGAAGACTCCATGAAAGCAAATACAAAGGGTTCACATGTAGATGCAAACCATTCATCAATTCCAAAAATAGACAGGCCAGAGTTAAATTTGCCCCAAAACACCTCAAGAAGCCAGCCCAGTTCTGGAAAAGTATTCTATGGACAGATGAGACAAAGATCAACCTGTACCAGAATGATGGGAAGAAAAAAGTTTGGAGAAGAAAGGGAACGGCACATGATCCAAGGCACACCACATCCTCTGTAAAACATGGTGGAGGCAACGTGATGGCATGGGCATGCATGGCTTTCAATGGCACTGGGTCACTTGTGTTTATTGATGACATAACAGCAGACAAGAGTAGCCGGATGAATTCTGAAGTGTACCGGGATATACTGTCAGCCCAGATTCAGCCAAATGCTGCAAAGTTGATCGGACGGCGCTTCACAGTACAGATGGATAATGACCCCAAGCATACAGCCAAAGCTACCCAGGAGTTCATGAGAGCAAAAAGGTGGAATATTCTGCAATGGCCAAGTCAATCACCAGATCTTAACCCAATTGAGCATGCATTTCACTTGCTCAAATCCAGACTTCAGACGGAAAGACCCACTAACAAGCAAGACCTGAAGGCTGCGGCTGTAAAGGCCTGGGAAAGCATTAAGAAGGAGGAAACCCAGCGTTTGGTGATGTCCATGGGTTCCAGACTTAAGGCAGTGATTGCCTCCAAAGGATTCACAAAAAATATTGAGAAAAAACTTTTTTGTTTGGGTTATGTTTATATGTCCAATTACTTTTGAGCTCCTAAAATGTGGAGTGTTTGTAAACAAATGTGTACAATTCCTACATTTTCTATCAGATATTTTTGTTCAACCCTTTAAATTAAATGTTACAATCTGCACTTGAATTTTGTTGTAGAGGTTTCATTTCAAATCCAATGCGGTGGCATGCAGAGCCCAACTCACAAATATTGTGTTACTGTCCAAATATTTCTGGCCCTAACTGTACTCTTACCAAGAATTTCAAAGAAACACAGTGTACTTCAGGTTTACCCATGAAAAATCCACCCACACACACACAACAGCCTTTAAACCTAGAATGCATTTTAATCATGTCTTTTAAATTATGGTCTTAGAAAAAGACATTCAAATCACATGCATTTTCATCCTTCAGCTTAAAACTACTGCAACACCACATTCTGCAATAAAGACACACCTGTTTGGCTAATGGGACTTCAAAATGATTTAAGCTTGAATAATGCAGTACTATGTTGCTTAATAGTTGACTTTGAAGATGGAATGCCAGTGTGGACCTGCAATGTGTGCACCAACTCCTTCCATCATGGAAATTGTTTTGCCAAATATTAAATGAAATCACACTTCAGAACACATGATCTGGAAGCATGAAATGAGCAGCCAGTCCCTCTGTCTGGGCGTCATCGTTCTGGAACCGACAGGCTGTTAAAGAACACCACCTGTGTAGAGCTGTTGGAGTCATTAGCTGCATTTTCATTATACACATAAGACAGTATATCCATATTCTGCTAATGTCAAAACAAATAATAATTTAGCAATTTTAATTTCCATCAAGTAAGAAATTAAATACCATACATGAATATACATGTTTATGCAGGAAATCATTAAAAATAATGGCAGCAACCATGTAAACAGTTACATGAGATATATTCATATTTAATTCAGCCATGTTGTTAACGTTCATCTATCAGCCAATCAGTGTTTTAATCAGGCGTTGGAGGCTCTAGATGTTATATCATAATGGAACCACACTCATACCTCATTACAATGTATTGGTTTTAGATGAAGACGCTGGTGTTCACATGGATCATTTATCATAAAGAGGAAAATAAATGGTTCAGATGCCTATATTTAGTAGGAAAACAAAAACTCACTGAAGGTTATTTCTATTGGTAGAAATTTAATTAATGGCATGTTCCCAGCATTGAAGAAGAGACAACAAACTCTTATTTTACTGATGTCCAGAATTCAAGTTCAGCAGAATTTCCAACATTTTAGATGGTGACATTTTATGTGGCCAAAATGTGATCAGAGCAACGTTTCTGTCAAATGAGGTGTTACCAAAGCCACTACAGAGTTGAGGTTTGTAATTCTGCATCGATACCGTCAGGGTAGCCCTCAGGGACAGGTGGAACCCAGTCGAGATCAGGCCATCCAATGGTCTCCTTGGCGGTTTGCTCTTCCAGCCATTTTGTTAAGGGGTCAAAGTATTTGAGTAATGAGGTGGCATTTATTTCCCGTGTGCCTATGGCCTCCTGCAGCACGTCAGGCCAAGGCCTTGAAGAACCTGCCTCCAGAACTTTCCTAGGGAAAAAGGAACACACATTGCAACACTGAAATAAAATTTACTCATTTGTGGATTAAAAAAAAAAAAAATTCATTCCTACTTCAGGATGGCTCCAGCTTCTGTGGAACGGTAGATGTCACATGTGTGCAGAGGGCCGGTCTGATTGGCCACCTCACAGAGTTTTTCATGAAACTGAAATTGCAGGATGACGCTAACAAAGTACCTGCAGAGGAAAGAAGAACTTCAGAAAATAAAAAGCCCCCAAGCCCTTTTACCTCCTCCCTGTGCTCCTACTGCCATCTGCAAATATAGACGGCTTGATCCGAAACCAAAACCAGGAGGGACTCAATGCTGTCGATCACACTTATGTGATGCTCACGTCCTCCCCCTGCCATGACTGCTCACACTAGTTAACATGAGACAGATGAGGCCAACAAAGGTAAAAAGTCAGTGTGTGGCCCAGGACAGTTTTCAGTGCACAGGTCTTTGGAGAGACAGCTACATATGAGAGAGAGGAAGAAGACCTGGACTAAAACATATCTCCAAGTATGCTGATGATCCAGCCTTCAAGCTTACACATAAAGTGCTACGATTCTTGCAGTTAATATTCTCCCCATGTTTGAAGACTACAATACTATTGGTCTATTATTCCCACACCACTTATATACTGTATTAATGCAAGTGGAAATTATAAAATCATGTGCAATTTTAACACCCATTTAGTTTTCTATGGAAGTCTACCACCTAATTTGGAAAAAAAAAAAAAAGCTTCAGACTTCTAATAATGGGAAGTCCGAACCACATACTTAATTTTACTTATATTAGCATCATATGGGTGGAAGAGCTTTTACCTTATATATGGTGCGTTTCCAGCGATATGGTACTTTGCCCCAGCATCAAAGTGCTCCTCTGTACGCCTGGTAGGAGGGCAAATTCCTTGGTATTTTGTTCTGTGAAGAAATTTAGAAATCATGAACAGGTCAACAGACCAGGCTAAGATCTGGAACCACACAGTCTGAGTGACCGCAGAGAAAGTTTCCATAGGTTGCTATGGCTCAAACTCTCTGTGAATGATTTGATAAAAGAAACACCAGTCCTAAGATGCAAGCTTTATTTGGTCTCACCTGAGGTTCCACCAAGCAGAGTTGTAGTTCTCTGGAGGAATATTTCCATTGAACACATCCCATCTCCAGAGGTCAACAAGATAGCCAAAAGGAAGGAAAGCAACAGTCTCCAAAGCAGTCTTCAACAGGAAGTTCAGGTCACTTTCTGGTAAAAAAATAAAAAATACAGAATGGTTATTCTGTTTTAGAGTCCATTTGAATTAATGAGAAGATACCTGGTCAGTACCATCATCAGAGGTCACAGACTCCAGCAGGTTAATCTCATGTAGGTGCTTGGGTGTTGAAACTGAAAGTGACATAAGGTCACCGATGGCTTCATGGAAACCAGGGTTGGCTCCATCACGGAAGCCCACAGGCTGATCCTTGTACTGCAGGTAATACTGGATGTGGCCCATCTCATGGTGCACAGTGAAGAGGTCTTCCATGGTCACTGTGGTGCACTGCTTAATCCTGCAGGAATGAAACATCGACCAGGTTAATGGCATTTGAAGTTGCTTCCCCCAGCAGCTATAGTTTTTCAGGTTGCAGAGCAAGTGGGTTAGCCACTATAATGTCAAAGGTTACAAATTTGACCTGAAGTCTTTGCGGTTGTAAAAGTCCCAGGCAGATGCATGGCACACGACCTCCCGATCGTCAGGCTTAACAAGCATCGACCCTTCCCAGAACTCTGGCGGCATCTCCTTCAGACCCAGAGAGGTGAAGAACTCCTCGGCCACACGGAACATGTGTGTGGCATTGTAGCCCTGCAGAAAATAAATGAACATTTTAAAGACTGAGAACTAGCTTTCTCCAACCTCAATCCTTCATCCGCACCTGTCTGACCATCTCATCAGTCACGTCTAGGAAAGGTTTGGCAGGAAATGGGACCATCATCTCATAGAGGTTGTTCCATGACTGGGCCCACATATTTCCTGTTAGGATTAAGATGTAGTGGAGAAATCCTGAAACACTAACTGACACTGATGGAAATATCTTCATAGAGAAGGATCATTGACCATTTAGTGTCTCCATCGTGGCATGGAGCTTCATTTGTCTATTATACATGCATCTTACCCAACAGGTGTGCAGGGATGGGTCCTTCGAGGTTGATGTATTTGGGACCATAGAAGTTGTAGAGTTTGCGTCTCACAAAGGCATGCAGGTTCAGGTAGAGTGGTTCAATCGTCTCGTAGAGCTTTTCTAAATCCTCCTGAAAGGTTTCCATCTCATACCAAGAGCGCCAAGAAGCTCCAGTGTCATTAAAGCCTGAAAATGATTATTTTTTAAGACCCTGTCTGGATTTTTGCCATTTCATTTCAAGCCCATAGTTCTTACCGTCCCCTTGAGAGGCTTTGTTGCTGAGCTCCACAAACCTGGAATAGTACCCCTTAACAGGGACACCTGATACATTGTGCCAGCTCTCCCAAGCAAAGAGGAGTTTCTTGTAGCTTCTGGACTTGGCCAGAATTTCAGAGAGCTCTGAGATAAATGATAGTTACCCATTAGACAGAAAAGCCAACACGTTTCTGCAAACATGTTTCTGCAAATGAGTCAGATAACAGTCTGAAGTTTATTTTAAAGTATGAAGCTTTATCGTATATCTTCCTGCTCATCAAGGGGATAAAAGTCCTTGCAACAAGAAATGAGGTCCTGTTATGTCAGGGCCATGTTATCAGAACTCCAAATATTATTTCAAACAATCGGGTTAAGACTAATGTGAAATTTAAATCATGATGCATCTTAAGTTACACTGGATTTCTCCGATACTTGTAAAAGTGACTAAACAAACAAACAAATGTGTCATTAACAAAAAGGATCTCGTTTTAGTTTGTGAGTAATTCACTGAAGCAGTTTCCCTTCCAAATACATTCAGCTTGTTTAGCTGACAAAACAGAAGGTCCACTGATTGTGGCTTCAAAACCATTCAGTCAACATTTCTCCTCTAGCAATTTGAGGCCAAGGCACTTATGTTTTTAATTATATAAAAAAAATAATGCGTTGTTCACCACTTCCAGCTCAAAAACATAGTATAATAAAATTGCAGTTTATTGATGTTGCCAACTAAAGACACTTGTACATGTGGGATTACCAGGCTCCAGGTTCCAGGTAACATTTGGCAGAGGGTACACTTTACTTGTTGAATAAATGTTCTCCATGGTGTTCAGGATGGTGTTATACTATGAAGAGAAGCAAGTTTATGGGCATTAATAGGTCAGAAGAGACTATGTTACTGTAATTATAGTACATAAGGGCTACTGTACCTCCTCTCGCTCAACCTGTGGAAGGTTGGCACTACTAAGAAACTTGACATTAGTAATCAGCCTTCTGTCCTTCTCAGAAAGAGATGCAAGTACTTCCTTAGAGAAGATCTGCTTGGCCTTCATTCCCCAGGCTTCTGAGAAATTTTGATACACAAGGCTTGCAGCTACCTAAAAACAAGAGGCACTGCAGGTCAGTGATGATAGATAGGGAGGTTGAATGAAACGCAGTCCAACTCTAAACAAATATTTAACATGAATGCCTTGAAACTCGTGGTTATGTTAGAGGAAAGTTTGAGCTGTGCCATCAAAGCTTTTTAAAGGTGTCATCTCTCCTGTTGGGGCTCCAGTCCACTGCATCAGTGACTGCAGTGGAACTTTAAGAACTTTAAGAGATGATGGTTCAAAGGTGAATTTTACATTAAAAAAAAAAAAAAAGCCCTATTACAACTACTCCTCCCACTCAGCTCCCAAACGAAAAAACAGTTCAAACAACTTGAATCTGAGCATCTACAATCATTTTGTATCTCCATTTGTTGGGCTTGTGGTTCATTAAAGCCCAGTTTGAACTTTTGTCTGAAAATGAATTTCTGTAGAATTTTTCCAGAGGCCAGTGAGTTAATCTTCACTAATCATTAAGTAGATGAATAAAAAGTCATAATTACTCAATTTTCAGACAAGTCATATCAAAATACACCCAGAAGTGTTAGGTAGATTTCATTGAATGTCCTTTGGTGTTTCAGAGTTGTTGACTTTCTATTTCTTTGTTTAACTTTCTGCGCTCTGAGTGTGAAAAATACCCGAGGGTCAACACAGGTCAACAACACAACCAATTTAAGACATTTCAAAGTTCTTTTTTTAAAAAAAAAAATCCACCAAACTACAGGATTGTTCATTATAATGCAACCTGCATTGACTTTAAAAGTCAGTGTTAAATTTACCCAACCAAACTAAGTGCAAATCTTTACCTTTTCTTTAAAAACATGAAAAATGGGGTGTAGTGAATTCTACAAGTTAGAAAAATATCAGAAAGTGTCTCAAGTCAATATTTTGTTTCATTTCCCCATAATTGATGGAACAGAGTGGTGTGATGGCTTTTATCTAAAAAACAAAACAAAATAAAATACAACAAAATAAAATAAAATAAAACAAAGTGAAATAAAAACACCCAGTTCGACCTGCAGTCTGGAGTTGAACTCCGTCAGGTTGGTGCTGAGGTTCCAGCTGGCGGACTGGCTGTAAGACAGCGCCTCCTCTGCGGTGCTGTTGTAGTCACTGAGGAACCTCAGGGCATCCGAGGCGGAGTCCGCATAGTCCCCTGGCGTCCAGCGGACGGACAGAGCTTCACACAGCAACAAGACGGACAGCAGCGGCAGCCAGGCGGATTTTACCAACCTGTGGACGTCAGGAGCCATAGCGGACTGGCAGGAAGAGAGGAGGGACAACTGGTGAGGGACGAAGCACCTTCTGCTCCTCAGAAGCCGCAGAGTTGATTGACGGTAGCACGCGAACCTCCGTGTTTAAACCCTCCCTCCGAACCCGAGAGCTGAAAAGAATTGACCAATCAGAGGCGGGTGCTTCTGATGACCTGTCATTTCTCCATGTGAAGCCCAATCCCCGCCCCCTCCCCGCCTCAGCTCCAGATCCAGTCGGTCGTGTTGACCAGAGGCGCTAGGGGGCGCAGTAGCTCCTTCTGAAGAAGCCACAGCAGAAAATATCAGACTTTCTTTTTCATCTAGTATCAACTGATATTTTTTAATATGTGGTTGTTGTGATATATTCCTCGCAAAATAAATAAATAACTATTGATACTGAAATGCTTATGGCCTGTCCTGTTCTTTTCAGCCATATTGTCCGTCTCTATGTATGTTTTAATGAAACAGAATATCACTATCCACAATGTCCACCTCTAAGACCTTTAGGTTGGGAACTGGTTCTCTTAAAGGACAGTAGAAGGATGGAGATGTGGTGGGAACAGTTCCAGGATGCTGCATCTCCTGCACATTGACAGAAAGTCAGGATTTCTCAGACAGCGGATAAGTTGATTTATTCTTTATTTTGTACAACCAAAGCCAAATTATAAACCTGAAAATGGACAAAGTGGACCCTTTGGACACCAGTGGAGAAAGAGCATCTGTAGTGTCTCCTGCAGCCTCACACATAACTAAAGTCACCCTCACTTCTCTGAATTTATTCTGAGAAAAAAAAATATGCAAATTAAAAAGTCTATAAAAATCATTGAATTTTTTTTTTTTTGCCTACTCAGAGATAAAAGGCTTCCTTTCCATCAGATTATATTTTAAAATCTTCCCTTCATGTATTCAGTTGCAAATCTGTCAGAAAAATATTCTGTACATCCGTTTTGTTTTTGTCAAGTCACCTCCACTGACCGTCATGTCCACCCACAGGTCAGAAAATTCTTTGCAGATTTATGACTAAACTGCTTTGAAAAGATGCTGAAGAACCTTCAGGTTCAGAATCTCTAAAAATGTTGGCCAGGAAACTGACTGCAATCCCATAACTGGCAAAAATGACAAACATGTTATTCACTCAGAGCTCCTTCCTGATAGTCCTCTCCTCAATGACCCCAAAACACCTCTGACCTCAGAGTGACCTCAGAGGATCACTGCTGCCGGTCAGAGCAGCAAGTTATTGCAGATTTGATCTTCCAACAAAATATTTCTGAGCACGCGAACCTCCGTGTTTAACAGCAATGTTACATTAACCCCTCAAACATTGACCTTTTATAGTATATACTGTCAGGTCTGCATTGAAGTTATTAAAGTTCAAACATGTTCTTCTTCATGAGAGGTGAGAATGTTTAAGTTCACTATAGATGGTATTTATTGAGGTTTGAAGCTCCTACATCACAGTCTGAGAAATAACTGATTTTTTAAAACCTGATTCATCTGAACCTCATCCCACAAAACCTAATTTTGCACAACTAACAATTAGCCAAAGGCTAAAATGTGACATCTACCTGTAAATATTCTTTTATTTGCTCTGAGTGGGGAAAGAAGAAAAAACATGATGAGGATTTGAACGTTTCAGATCCAGCTTCACCATCACAGCCTCCAGGCTTGGAGTCGCAGAGAGACTCCTTCACTGGGTCTGGAGTTTCAGCTTCCTGATAAAACTGCCTCACTGCTCACAGCTTCCACTGCACCGTCACTGGGCTCGGCAGACAGGGACAGATCAGGAAAACCCTCCTGGTTCCACCTGAAACACTGCAGCTGCAGAGCTGCTGGTTCCTCTCTCTGGCTAAAGAATGAACATGATCATTTATCAATACCAAATGTGGAAGAGTGATGAGAGTAAGAGTAGAGACATGAAAAGTCTAGTCAAACACTCGAGGTAATATTTTGACCTCTTGTGCCTTGTGGTATCTGACAGCTTTTTATCCACCAATTTCAGAAGACATTCCATATTCTTGACTGACCTTCTGGAATTAAAAAATAAGATATCTATGGCTTATAGCTCTAATTTGATCATTTTGTCTTCTACACTGTTACATTGTGTAATCTAAAAAACAAACAAAACAAAAAAATCAGACCAACTAAACTGTGCCTTATATCAAAGAACTGAATGTTTCATATGATCCTAACAGAGCATTAACCTTCTCAGGATGAAGGTTTACAAATGGTTTATGGTTTTAAAAAAGTAGAATGGGCTTTTCCACTTCCTTTTTCCACTTCCATCTACTTTTGAGACTGGGAAAGCTTTTTGGATGTTTCGCGCTTGCTGTGGCTCCAGGTATCCACACCGAGGCTAGTTACTGCTGTAAGGCTGTAACTAAGCCTTACAGCTGTTACTACAGGTTTAGGCCACCACTATTCTGCATTTATGCATTTTTGTTGCCATCAACTGTTTTCTGCTGTTTCATCTCTGTAGGGTCTACCACTTTCCTCCTCTCACTGTAGGTCAGGTTTATCATGACCTGAATTTGACTGGATTCCAGTGCAGCTGGACTGAACAGACTGATCTGGAATGATTTACAGAAACTCCACATGGACGGACCGGAGTTTGATTAAAAATAATGTCCTGTAAAGTGTTTAGATATGTCGATATGAAGGCATATAAACTGCAGTGAGGGGTTTTCTTATAGTTACTTTATATTGAAGATCCATATTTGCAATCGATGTTTATTTGTTTTATTTATTGTCTTTTTGTTTCACAAAAGAGGCAGCCCCTCCCCCCACTTACATTTAGTGTGTATGCAATATAATGTACATTTTTGTTATCATTATGGTCATGTAGTATTAATCATGGCTTTAGCCATTACCCGTTCAATATTTTAGCTTAAAGTGTTATAATAAAGGGACTTTATGGTGCTCTTAGTAGAGCATAAGCCTCAATACACCGTTTTTACTGACAAAAAAGAAAAAAAAAACGGCCAAAAACTGGTGCAGAAGTTATATTTAACTTGGTTATAGGTTTGTTGGGGAAATGGCGCAAAGTACTTTGATGCACAATTTAATAAAAAAATGGACATGCTCATACAGCTTTTGTGTGCATGTGAATTCAGTGAAAAAGTTTGACTCACCAAACATAACCAGTCTTTGGTTGTTTCATATATGGAAATAATACATGTGACTCAAGCTATAATACTGACTAAGGGGAGATAAACAGCTTGTGTGTTATTTGACCAAACCTGAATATAGTGGACGTGTGGGAAGTTTACCGTCTACATTTAAATGGAACGAGAAAATATGTTTGTTCAACAAGAAGGCTTCAGTACAATCAATCAATTCTCTATAATACAAAAGGTAAATAAATCCAACATATCAATCAACGTTTGTCATTCAACACAGCTTGTAAACAAAGTCCAAAGACAGAAATTACAATTTCTGACGTTAACAAATGTATTTAAGGCTTTTACCTTACACAATGTATAAATTCAGACATGCTAAAATAAAAAGGTATAACAGCAGTTTCTTCAACTTCTTCCTAAAGTTGAAAAACAAAGAAAGAAATACCTTCCCCATTCCCCGCCCTCACAATCCCACCCCCAAAATCTAACCATATCCACTAGTGACTTGTGTCCAGAGAATATGGTCAAAAAATCAACACAAATCCTTCTACAGACAAAGCAAGAGGATCCTGATACAGGCTTTTTACTTATAAAAATAACTGATAGTACAGTTCAAACTCAACTTCACAGTATATTTCATGATGCTAGAAGACATAAACTGTATTTTTATCTTTTTTAACTAAACACAAATGGTCCACAGTGGTGAAAGAAAAAAAATAAAACGCTCTTCTTTCTGAACACCTTAAAAGAAAACAGGAGAAAGAAATGCAATATAGAAAGAGAGAAAACTCAAACGGTTTAAAAAGGGAATCTTAGGCGTAAAGAGGGGAGATGGACATAGTTGCAAAAAAAAAAAAACAAACAAAAAAAGAACCCCAACAAATAAAGCAGATAAATGTCCTCAAGTCTGTCCAGGGTTAACATGGAGGTATCGCTCAACAAACCCATGTTCACACCACTGCATTCATCCGCCTCATTCAGAAACACGCCCCCCTCTGGTAGTTTGACCACAGCGTGGATTCGACAACAAAACAACAGGTGAGAAGTAAAAACATTGCAGCTGTGCAGATATGGTGACATCTTTAACATCTAAACATGAAGAGACTCAGTCTTTATACACAACACATTCTCCCTTTTGTTTCATTCTTACTTGAAGCATGTGGATAAGTGATTTCTGTTCCAAAGGGTTTGAGTCCTGAGTTCCGCTGAGCAGCAACTGAGATGTCTAAGCTCCAGGCTTGGTTTGTACTCAAATAACTATATATTATCATCTTTTAGTCCTAAATGTTTAACAGGTGATTTTGTTTTGTTTTTTTAACCGTAGGAGAATAATGGTAGATAAAGGAACACTGTTAAAATTTGTACTTTTGCACATTTAAAACAATAGCACTGTTAAAAAAAACCCAACTGATTTATTCCCAGTGAAGAAGCACCACTTCAAATAATTTTGTGATATCATTCCTCTGCTGTTGTCAAATGTTGCGGGTGGGTGGGGGGTCTGTAAGCACAAACAAACGCGGTGTTGTTACTTTGAGCGTCTGAGCTGGGCTCCAACTGGAATCTTTACAGCAGGTTGGTGGTACTCACAGTCACTGCTTGAGGCCATTGGAGCATCCGTGAAAGTCACCATTGGTTTGACCGTTTCCTGAGAAACAGGACAACCTCTCAAGTCTAATTGTGACACATAACATGTTCCAACTTCAGGGAGAAGCTGTGAATGTGGCAGTACCTGTGTGTCCGTTGAGATGTTGGTGAGCTGAATGGTTTGAGAGGGCGTTGTGGTGAGGCGGGAGTGGCTGGTCCCTGCTGCCATCGCTGCAGTCTGTGTGCTGACGTTTCTCTGCTAAAATGTCTTTGTCGTACCCCGAGTCCTTGGTGTCAGAGTGATGGCGCTTCCGGTTCTCTCTTTCTTTGCTGCTTCTGTTGGCGTGGCCCCGTCCAGAATCGGAGTCGCTGTCCCTGTGCCGCCTCTTCTTCTTTTTCTTCTTCCTGCTCTCAGTGGCTCTGTCTGAATCCGGGTCAGAGCTTCAAGTACAGACAGAGAAAAACAAAAATAAACTGAATAATCCATTCGACAATTCAGGAGTCAGTCATTTTGTATGACAGTCTTTCCCAAAAAAAAAAAATAAAAATTATATATATATATTCTTAGAAAGACTGTATCAAACAAGTAGCCCTTCGTGTTGCTCTGTACCCGTGAAGTAGCTCCCAGTCTCAAAAAGGTTGGTGACCCCTGTCCTAGATCTTATCGACTCAGATACACTGAGCCATCTAAACATTTCAAATATAAGACACTTGAGTCCTAACATTAGGCAGCCCCTTGCTGTTACTGATTTGAGCGGGTCTTACCTGCTCTCGTGATGCCTGTCTTTATCTTTTGACTTCTTCTTCTTCTTGCTTTTTTTGTGTTTTTTGGAGCGGCGGCCCTCTGAGCTGTCCTCTCTCCGCTTTCTTAGTTGAGCAGCTGGCCTCTTGTCACTCGGCTCCTCCCTCTTAAGAGTGGAGTTAAAATTACAGAGGCGCTCCCAGGGGGGGGAAACCTTGGATTTGTTTGTTTCTTGAGCAGTAGCAGCTGGGGAGGAACTCCTTTCTTCCCCATCCCACCCATTCCTTTTGTCCTTCATTGCCCAGGATTCCTGACCGTCCTTTTGCGACCGCCAGTAGTTGTGAGACTCTTGGGGGTGTGGGTATCCCCTCCTCTCATGGCTCCCATCATGCCTGTGGTAGTAATGGCTGGAATGGTACGAGCGCCGGTCACGATCGTGCTCCCAGGAGTGCGAGCCGAGCCGTTCCTTGCGGCGGTCAATGTCCCGGTTGCTCCGTTCGGGAGGACATCGATCCCTGTAGGAGCGATGGTGATCCCGGTAGTCTCGTCTATACCGATGGCGATCGTTGTAACGTTCTCGTGGTGGACTTCTGTCCCTGTAGTGTCTGTCTCTGTCTTTGCTATTGTCAGAGTAGAATCTGTCTCTGTCCCTGTCATGGGAGGACTGCCTGTCATGGCCTCTAGAACCGGGTTTGGACTGGCTCTGCCCCTTGTTCTCCGTACCACTGTCCATCCGTGCTGATGGACCGTTGGTCTGTGAGGAATCCTTAACTTCTTCCTCGGTTTTGCTAATGTTCTGAGCAACTGTCGAGTTCCCATTAGCACTTTGACAGCAGACTGGCTCTGAGGCAAAGGCTGACAGGTCTCTGGGCGCAACAGTGTGAGTCTTGGAAGTAGTAGCTGAAGGTGAGGAGCTAAGAGCAGAGGATGAGGCGTGGTGAGGAGAAGGAAGAGGCTCAGGCAGCGTTTTAGTCCTTTCATCAGCAGCAGCAGGGAGGGGCTCTCTTTCATTAGCAGCAGGAGGAAGAGCGCTCTGAGCTGAACAGGTCTGCGATGAGGCCGGGTCAACAAGCTCTTTGCTGGAAACACAAAGAACAGAACTGTTTGAGATAAGCTTCCTGGTTCATAGAGTATCTGTAGAAGGGATGCACTCTTTTCACTTCCGTGACAAGTTATGCTACGTTAAGAGTTTCTTTTTTTGGATAATGTGATGGTATTTAACTTCATGAGGGAACTAATGTATTTTTGAATTTAAATTTCAAATAATAAAGGATGACATCGCTCAGGGAACAAAACATAGAATTAGACTGAACAGATCAGGGACATTGTCACTTACACTCATACTATTGGATTGGTGCTTTTTAGATAGCAAAGATTTAGGGGATAAAAAAATTAGTTGAAAAAATAAGGCAAATATTAATTGTAGCCCGTGCAAGAGCATTGAAATTAATATATATCTTGTGAGTCTATGTGACAAACCATGTTGAGTTTGTATTTTGTCCCATTTACGCCATCCCACATTGTCTAAATAAAGTGAGCTTGCCTTCCTTCAGAGGTCACCTGATCATTTGTATTTTAGTTTCAGTATTAAAATAGAATTTTATACGGTCATAAAAATATCACAAAATGTTGTCAAATGTGCAAAGCTGGTAAGGAAATGTCCTGTAAGTTATGCAGATGGAATTGTAGCAAATGGTTGCTCTTCCATCTGCTACAATTGAATTTTTATCACAATTCATTTAACCAAGTATCGACTCAAGAATGCTGAATGAATATGCACAGCACACTTTTCAGATGTCAGTTTAAAAGAATGCTGAAAGTTATTTATTTTATATCAGAAATATCTAATCACAAATCTTTATTAAAAAAAAAGCTTTTCCCATACTTCAAGCTTGAGACAAAGTTAATTATATTATAAAAGGCTGTTTACTAAATGCCTACATTTGAGTTTGCTTAGTCATTTCAAATTACTAAGCAAGGTTAGTCTGTATTATAAAAAAATGTGAAAGGTTTTATTTCTCATTTAGTTTTGTAGCTTAAAAACACATTAAATAGGTCAAATGTTTCCTTATTAAACACAGAAACTACTGACTAGCATTCTCTCTTTTACATATATTTCTTTTACTGACTTCTGTGGAACAGGACAATTTTATATTCGATTATAGACTGATAAATTACTGATTACTGAAATAGTTATTTACAAATAGGCCTAATATGCTTTGAGCCTTAGGACTGTAGCATGTTTATACGTGCGAGGGACTTTGTTGTTCTGTGTTGAAATTCAAACATGAATCAGACACATTCATCTTACTTGGGTTCATTGTGGTCACTGCCAAGTCCATTGGCAACAGCATTCACAGCTGAAGTGTCCTGATTATGGATGGATCCCTGAGGAGCACACAATGCCGTTACTACTGACATTACACTACACTCGCAACAAATCCTTTGCATGTTTTATAGATCATATATGCATAATTTACCTTCTCATGTGTGTTGTGTCCATTCACTTTGTGGTGCCCATTAAATTGTCCATTTTGGTTTGTTTTTGTAAATTCAGAGGTTGACCCATTCACCTCACTACTGTTATGCCAGACATCTATTTCACCGTTTGTGTTTTTAGAAGAAGAGGCACACACTTCTCCTGTTCCATTAGTTCCCTTCGTCTGAGGCTTGGATATGCAGCCAGCATCCTGAGTGGTACTGTTCTCCTGGTCGGATTCTTCAGAGGACTCTTGACTGTACGGCACCAGTAAAGACGATCCGTTACCCCCGGCGGGTTGGTCGCCATTACTGCTGGGTGTGCCATTAAAGTGGTTTAGCTGACGCGGAACAAAGTGAACGTCTGAGGTAGACTGTGAGGAAGATAACGAGCTGGAGGAGCTGCTTGCGGAGGATGGGTGGCTGTAGGTGGATGAGGAAGATGCTCGGTTCTGTTTGCCTTGTCCAATAAAAAACGAAAGCTTCTGCCGTTTCTCTTGGTCTGGGATGGATGTGGGTCGGCTGATTGAGTGGGAGATTGAGGAAGAAGCCAGGCCATGGCTGGGTTTGCCAACTGCACTGCTACTGGCTTTAGAATTGCTGGGATAATCCCTCAGAGATCCATTCCCATTAACATGGAGAGTGTTCTGAGGCACAAGAAAAACAAAGAACAAGAGGATCACATGCTTGAATCTTTAATAATAACTCATCCTCTAACATCAGAGGGAACTCTTTAGCCCTACCTTGGTCATGTGTGGCGGTAGTTGGGGGCCGATGAAGCCAGTGTTGCCGTGGTGAACGGCGGTGTGGATGCGAGGGGTTACCACCGGCCGGGGAGATGACTGACCAGACATACCTGGGTTATGGCTCACATTGCTGAATTCCCCAGTTTTCTTCACATTACACGACCTGACAACAAAATACAAGCAAATATTTTATTCATCTTTTTTTTCTTAAAGTTGCATCTGAAATATCTTTTATTACTAAACTATAATTAATATTACATTAGCAATAAAAAAAAGTCAAAAATGTCAGAATCCTTAGATAATTTAACACAAATATCCAGTTTGGTTACTTATAATATCTCACTGATTGAAGATATGGTAAAACTCCTTATGTAACAAAAAACAACACAAAATATCAGAAGGGCATGAAATACAAATCAATACATAATGGAAAAAGTACAGCAGTGTATTTCATTATTGACTGAGTTTCTACAAACACTAAATCAGGTGCAAGTCCCACTGCCTTGTCCTGCATTAAAAGCAGATGTTGCTGTAGGAACAAAAGAGAGCTTGTACCTGTTACTTTTTATACTAGGAAGCCTGAGCCTGACACCAGAGGGCAGAAACAGGAACTCAGCATGTAAAGGATGAGCAGTATCAGCAATAATGGCTTTAGTTTTTCTGATGCTTTCTACACAATTCTGTAAGTGAGCGTTGGTCAACCCCTAAGATCTTATTGCTGTCTGTATTACTTTGCTAAGGGCGTTTCTTGACTTAATACTAAGATTTCCAAATCAACAGAGAAAATGTCAACACAGATTCAATATATAATTTATATGTGCTGAACCCCAAATCTAATTTCATTGTTTTGTTGTAAATAATTTGTAGATTATGTCAACATCTATATATATTGACACTTAGACAGGACAAATTCATAAATATTATGTTAATAACTACAAGTCATTTTTAAGGTTAGTCTGTATTATAAAATTTGAAGTAAATGGATTCTTTTAGAGGTGCACTTATCACAGCACCCAGTCCTGTCCTATTCTGTTCATTTCCAGTTCAACATTATATTAATAACTTTCCATTTAAGTCTACCAGGAATGTGGATAAACTGGGGATTAACTGTTACATGTGAAGAGGAAGTGCTGGTCATACATCACTTCTTTAGAGAACACACACTTTGAGCAGCGATGAACTGAAACCAAAACTCACAATTCATTTTACCTACAATTAATATTCTGTTCATTTCCTGTTTGTAATGTTGAACCCTTGCTGAGGCATGGTTTACTTACTTAATGTAGAAAAGGACATAGGCCTGTTGGTTGAGGACTGAGCGGATGTCGCTCACAGAGACAGACGAGTCGTTCATCTGGTACCACTGACCGTTGCTGGCCTGTCACAAAATCCAGAGGAACACTTTGATTCCGTTTCAGAAAATTAAATGTTAAAATGAAAGCAGCTAAACATTCAGCACAAACAAAACAAAGCTGAACTATGCCTTTTCAGGTTAATGCATTTTATGTTCCATCTCTCTGTATGTGGATGTGAGCACAAGGCCAAAGCAGCGTTCTGACAGATGATTCACCTTAATGTAGCAGAAGTAATGGCCAGCATGGCAGCTGAAGCCGGAGTGGACCAGCACAGCGTACAGGCCGTAGATCTGGGGCTCTCCTTGAGACTGGGACATGAAGGGCCGCAGCTCCAGGTACTCTGGATATTTAACATCCTAGTAAAGACAAAAAAAAAACTGTTGACTTTGCTTCGTTTCGCTAATCGGGAACATCATTATTGAAAATGATGCATATTGTAACTAACAGCAATAGAAAGTACATTATACAGCAGGTATTTTGACAGAGCACTGGTCCGTGAGCGTCTACAAGGAACAGGTATGCTTTTATTTACAACTTTTTTTTTTAAAATCCTAATTATCACTTTTATTTGAAAAACATGAGAATTTTTTGAGGGACTCATTATTGCACTCTATTGTTAGTGCCGCCGATACTTTCTAATGCTATTCTGACATGAAGGTCTTAAAGGGCCGGTGCAGTATGTGATGTAATATACAGGTAGCTCTGTACCTTTGTGATTTTTCCTCCAGTGAAGTTTGCAAATCGTTTTAGTGAGAGGGTGAGCACATTAGGACTGCGGTGGATTGTGAATCTCTTTGAGGCTGTGACCATTTTTTTGCACCTGAAAAAAAAAGAAAGGAAATTTGTTTTAATTAACATATTGATGCATAAACAGAAACATAAAAAATTAAGGTCTGTGCTTGGAGGCTTCAAGAGTTACTTGGTGCACTTGTAGGCGTTTTCTCCATCCAGCTGTTCTGGTTTGACAAATTGCTCCAGAGCTTTGGAGACACTGGGTGCCGTCTACATGTAGAAAAATAAGAAAAACATTTTATAAGTTTAGTATTAAGAAACAATGAATTCTTTGGATTTGTTTGTCAATGGTGACAACGGATGTGGTCAGATAACCTTAATTTCCAGAGTGACGTCCAGAAAAGGATCAAATGTATCAGAAACTGATTTGCAGTTCAGACATTTCACTGAAAAAGAAACATTAGAAAGTTAACCAAATAACAAGATTCAAAAAAAATTTCTGTCAAAAACAAAGATAAAAAAACAGGAAAACAAATCAGCATTAATATCTCACCTCTGGACCTGAGGTACCCTCCAAACACTTGATGGATGAAAGTGGTGGCCTGCGTTTGCCTGTCCAATCTGCCATACAGGAAAATGGGAGAAGTAATTTAATAAATGAGTCATGAATGTACTTGCATGTGGCTACAGAAGCACAGCTGCACAACTCCTGAATGTCTAACAGACAGAGAATTGAGACTCTTGCCAAAACTAAAGAGTACAGAAGTATTTATTTTTACAAAATCAAAAGGTTTGTAGTTCACTGATCACTAACAAAATAACTTAAACCACTAATAAAGTGTCCTAAGTTTAAAGTTTTCTTGTAGTTCAAAAAGAAATTGCCCAAATCCAGCAGCTTTGTGGCTACTTAAGTGTAGTTAAGATCGGTTTTTACATGCAAGTATTAGTGCACCTGTAGTTATTTTGCTTTTTGTAAATCAGTCAAGTCTGAGGAGCAAATTCATCTTGACTGGAAAATGTACAAGTGTCCATCTGAACTCAGCAGCTCAACTGCAATTCTAATTACATTTACGATTTTTACACTAGCAGTAAAAGAAAATCGATAAATGGTGTCTTTGGCCAAAAACACAGACTTGATAGAAATCCTTAATTAAACAGAACTCTGTGGTCCTCTGCAGGGTAAACATGCCACCTTTAAAAAATGCTGTAATCACACTCACTTGGTTCCAGGTAAGCAGGACTTTTGCATAGCATCCACTGTGTACCGCAGGAACTCATGAGCATCCTCCTGGCTTCCATAGCGGAAGTGCTTTGCAATTCCTTTAGAAGGTGGAAAGAGTACATTCATAACAAAATAATCAAAATGCAAGAAAATATCTGAATGTGATTAAACACAGTACTGTTCCATTGTTGCTTGTTTCATAATTGGTTACAATATTATGTTTTTATCATGTGAAGCACTTTTTATTGGTGTAGCAGCTTACTGAAATGTTCTACACCAATAAACCTGGCTTGAAAATATAAGAAAAAAGTTTTTTTTTGTCTGCTCATTCTATCACAATCAGAAGATTTCTCTCCATAAATGAAGTGGTGACAGTAGTTTTAGCACCAACATCACCTACTTACTTTTAAGTTCATTGAGGACACCGATGGGCTTAATGACATTCCCAGAGTTAGCAAAAACCTGAATGATGTGGTTTTGCATGGTGCACATCATGCAGAATCCAGGCTCATGACCTAAAAGAGAAAAATTAATACATAAAACTACATTAAAAAACCTCAAGGAAACTAAGATAACTGATTATTTTTAGGGCAGTCTGTTGCAATAAAAACACCAAAAGACTGATCCTACAGGTTTTGGAGTGCTCCCTTGACAGCATGAAGTTGGCTAGCGGTGGAGTGTAGGTGAGGCACTGCAGGGCTGAGTTGAGGAAGCATGTGTTCCCCATGTTCTGCAAGCCAGCACCAATGCGGTGAACCTGGATCCACTTCAGGCTGAGCCGCTCTGGAGGAAACAGGACCTTCTGAGGCAGCTCGATGCCATCTTCACTGCTCATCACTGGACAAACATGACAAGAGCTACAATCACAATCAGTGCACAAAGTTTCTTTTGTTTCTAATTTTAGCTCAACCCGGCGACTGCATCACAGGCTTAAGTTGATTGATTGTGCTCCTGTTTTTAAACTAGCTGTTATGTAACTGGATGAATGAAAGAGCTGAAGGAGAACAAAACGCCCACATGAAGCAATGTGTCACACATGAGAAAACCATTAACAGAGTGCAGCTTTTTAATTATTTGTTTTGTAGAAATACTAGCATATATATTTCTGTAGTACGTCTTGTATATTTGTGTATAAGTCAACATTGTAAATCACCATTTTTCACTAGACTAGGAAAAACTATTAGCTAAAGCTGGTTTGGTGTGTATTAGTGCTCACATGCATCAGTATTAGTGATCACATGCATCAGGTAACTGTGTTTGCTCTGACAGAGGTGTGTGTCACTCGTGCAGGGTCAGGTGTTTCCTCATACCTTGGTCCTTGGGGCGGTCCACAGAGGCGGGTGTGCCGTTATAGACGGCAGCGCCGGGGGTCGGACCCAGGCAGCCTCCTGAAGGCTTGAGCCTGGGAGAGTCGCCGGCCATGCTGGGACCCACTGCCCAGCTGCTGGAACAACTGCCGTCCATCCCCACGTCTCCACTGGTGAAGGATCGGTTAAATCCAACTGACTCGTGGTCAGATTTTTCTGACAATCTGTCAACTATGGTCATTGTTCATAGCTGCATAGGAACAGAAACAGAATCATACAAATTTAAAAGCTGCAGACAAGACAAGAATGAAACTTTAATCTGTAGTATTTGTAAAGAAGCAACAGCAAGAATAAAGTTATCAATAACAAAACAATTTGACATTAGGGCAATAATAGGACTTAATTTTCTGTGAAAAAGATAAAGATCTACATCTAAGCTTACAGCTGTTTTGGGAGAAAAAAGGACTTCCGGAACAGAAGGAGGATGTCTGCCACAACTTCCTTTGCTTTGGAACTACCAGCGGGCGCCAACAGCTAGCAGTGGGCATTTATTAGAATTAATTTCTTATAATAATTACAATTTATTGTTGTCATGATGAATTCCACTTAATGTTGTTTAATCACTTGCCCTGCAAAGTCGTCCATACTATTTGGATTACTACTTATGCCATTTTTTACACTGTTCATTCAATAAATCTAAAAATATGCAGTTACTGTGTGCAGTTTAGTGAAACAAATCATAACTTTTCCTAAAGAAACCGATTACTAGTGGGAATGTTTTCAGGAGACGTATTTGTGTTTGTGCTTCTATGATTGCTGTGCCATGCAGTCAGAGCCGCACATTTATTTAAAACATAGTAATAAAAAGTTATTGTAAGTTTTATTGTTACCACAATAATACCACAAACTATTGTGATAAAACTTTAAGTCCACAACTAAAGACAGATATGGTGTTTCTGTATTAAAGATGAATTTGGAGAAGACATGGCAGCTCTCCTGACATTTTCTGGTCTGTTACTAAAGAAATCAGTGGGCAGGATTAGGCATTGCGAACAGTGAGTTGCACTGTTCGCAACTCACTAGGGATAAACATGTAAGAAAATGGATGGATGGATTAAGCTTTGGCCAGTTACAGGTATAAAGTGTAACTACAAAAAGAGCTTGAGAACGACTGGCCAAAATTAGCGTTCATAAATCAGATCAACCTTGATCTGAACGCTGGTTGCTCAGGGATTTTGGTATATCCAATATCCAACTTCCAACTTCACTGCAGTCGGTAACAATAAAAACACCGGGATAAAGTTTGTTTTGATCTGTGGCCTGTAAAGATGGCACTGAGCAACTGAGTGAGACGTAAACGCCCCACAACATCTTACACAGTAATGCTGGTTCACAAGGTTCTATTGGCCAATAGTAGAGGAGCTGGATATAGAAGGCTGCTCTTCTCATTAACATAAAGATGCACACGGAGAAGCAGAAAAATGACAAACAGAAAAAGGAGAGGAGGCAATGAGACAAGAAGGAGGGCTTGTATAAGGAACAGACAAAACAAAAATATAAACTTTTCTTGAGAAAAACGCATGTTTAGGGGAAATAAAAAATACATACATTTCTTGACGGAAACTCATGTAAGGACAAGGAAAAACTACATCTATATTTATGCTTTTATTTCTTATTATGTCAGTTACAGATAAGTGCATCACTAACATTATTTAAGCCTACATATGAAAATCACTGTACGTGGTAAAGATAAGTTAACTAAGTCAACACTTTAGTAATAGGCCAAAATATGTTGCTATTTTGTTAAAAAAAACACACACACAAAAAATGTAAGATTGTATAAAACTGAGATTTTTGTTGTGATAATTTGTATCGATTCACTGAAGACAATATGTATTCAGCAGTATGGTGAATTAAAACTTTGGATTAAAGAAAATGTTTTAGACAATTCAAGACTTGAACAGGAAAACTAAACAAAACAACAACAAAAAAATCACTGTAATTGTCCTGATCAGTTTGCTGCTGACGTAGTACTAGCTATTAAATATTTGTTTTATTTAAATTTAGACTTTAAATAAAACAAATATTTAAAGTCTACATTTATTTTACGCCTCTGTAAAAAATATTTTGGCGTATCAAGGAGAAAAAAGTAAATATCTGTTAAAATGTATTAAATTTGAAACTTGTTACAGGCCAAGGGTTCCCTACTACCCCTGGAAGTTACACAACCCAGACGGGAACATTTCCTTGTTTGAAGCACGTTAAACTGCAGCTGTTCCCTCCCACCTGCTCCAACAGACAGACTTACATTGGCTAACAGACGGTAGCAAGGCCTTTAACACGCAGCGCCTTTAAAACCGAAAGAGAACACGCACTAACGCTCAGCTCACGGAAGAGGAGGGGTCCAGATGTGTGTACATTTCTTTGAGAACATCGGGAAAAGACTGAGTTGTGATTGATAATCTATTACCAAAGAATGTAAAGGAGGCGAAGGACAGAAACGATAGCAGCGGCACAATTCCGGCTAATGCGGCTAACGGAGCTAGCTAGCTAGCAGTCTCAGTTGATGCTAGCTGACACCGTGATGAGTCCCGTGGCTAAGAAGTAGCATGTTAAAGAGACCTTAGCGGGCATGGTTTTAAATTGTACCGACTTTCATCCGTGTGGAGATTACAAACAGGTTGTCTAACAGGATTACTGAAGAATGGGCTCCACACCGGTGGCTGTGTGCGTTTACTGCGTTGCTCTCCGACATGACATAGAGAACCGGTGTTGGGCTACTACAGCGAATTCCAGCGGTTTGAGCCAACTAATGTACCTCTGGTATTCACCAGTTCTAACATTAGACCGTAAAAACAAATCAGCACTCACCTGGAGTCTGTTATGAACACCTTAATAGAGGTTTTAAATCCATTTCTTATTTCCAGCGGGTGTCCGCCGGTGAACAATGACGTAGCTAATTGCCCCACGGCTACATCCGGGTACCTGCCATGAAACGACGTCTGTGATAGGTCCATCCGACACATATCCGTGAAGAACGTGTTTCGGAAATATCCGACGCATGTTCTTAACTCTGACCTTATTGTGCCTTTTCCACTACAGTGACAATCTTGCAAGCACTGCAAACACGAATATTTCAGCACAACTACGATTAAATTATATTTTCCGAAATGTTTTGTGTTCGTAACAAATCGCATTACATGTAGCCTGTGCAAAATCATATTTTAAAAACAAATTGAATAAACTAGCGATAAAAAAAGATGTTAGAAAAAAAATCAAAGCACTTTTACATCGTACGGAGCTCCTTAACAGTGAAACTATCCGGTGAATAGTTTCAATGACTCAGGATGAGAAAGACATTTTGCTTGGACACTAAAATCAAATTAAATATTACAGTGTTTTTGAAATACATGAGATGGTTTATTTAGCAGCTGGATAAAACAAATGTTTAAAAAGAGAGAGAGAAATAGAACACTACCATCTCTAGGACAAGACACTTAAATGTTCACACATGCAGGCATTTGTATCAAGTCAAACCAAGTAAATTAGGGGCTCAATAAATTAAGTTCAGACAATCTGTTGATGCTTTTGAGGTTCAGGTTTTGTCCAGTTCAGTGAAGCCAACAGTGACTTTTGAGTTCTGAAGCTGACTGATCTGTCTCCTCAGCTGCATGATCTCCTCCTCCTGCTCTTCCACTCTTTTCTGTAAACCGTGGATGACCTGAAAAAGAAGGAAAATAAATATTAAAACTGGTTGGTAGTGATTTTGGGCGCCTTTGGAACAAAGCACCGTTGATCCAAAAAAGATGGCACTTCTTTTGCATCACAGTTGAGAACTTGAAACTAGGCTCGGGCCAGCAGTGACACAGGAAAGAAAGTTATGATGACAGGTTTACTTTTGGTTTCAAGCAAAGGAGACTCAGAGGGGAATGCATCGTGATTAGGGCAGACCAAACATTTGAACAGTTCTGCATGAGATAAAGTAATGTCAATATTTGGCCATTAGAGTAGGAGTTGTGTAAATGCTACTGAAGTGGCAAATGTCCAGTATATATGGCATGTGAGAGCTATGGAATTTTTCAATATTTTTGGGAGTCTGGCTTGTGTGGTGACTAAACTCTGTAGGCTTCAGTGCTGAAAGTGTAGGAAGGTGCATTACGTACATAAGGCAACATATCTCTTAGTAATACACAGTTGGGGCATAAGCAAAACATAAAACGCTAGTAGCAGTTTAGTAGGGCCTGCAGCTGAATGTTAATTAGTGACGGGACTCTTTGAAAGGAATCAAATCTCCAGGATCTGTTTACTTCAAAGTACCTTACAAAGGATTCATTTTTGAAAAGGTACATTTTTCTTGAAAGTCCATTTATCCTGCATGCAGTTTTATATTAATTGGTTTTGTAGGTTAAGTTCACATGAGAACTTCAATTATATGTATTAAGTTAAAACAAAAAACTCGCTGGATTTTATTTATTTGCCTTTTAAATGAAATAGAATCGTAGGCACTGCAATGTGTGCAGAATCCTATTGTACAGGGTAAAGAGTCTTTCAAAAGAATCAGCTTGTGTCTGAAGCTCGCGTCACTAATTATTGAACACCAGTGTTCAATGATGTGTCCTTATGAAAAAATGTCTTTGTGGGGGGAAAATGTAGTAGTAGAAATAGTTGTCTTTCAGCCAGCTGACAGTGTCCAGAAATAGCCTCGGGAGGGGGAAATCTAGACAGATCTACATCTAGACTGATCAGTCCAGAACTTTCTCTGGCGCTTCATTTGAAGCACTTTAAATGAACTGGATAATGGCACATGCATGCCATTTTGTAACTTTGTAAACTCTACTATGCCTTAATATCTGAATCTGGCCCAAACCTACTTCAAACTAAACACATGTGCTATATGCATATACACTGTAATCCTAAACTATATCTGCACACTTAAAGAGTTCTGAAGAATTAAATGAACAGTATTAGGCAGATATTTATCCCGTACTACCATGTCTTTATTGTGGAACAGTTCACTCTCTAGCAGCTGGCTGGCTGCTGGCCGAAGGCTGGGGTCTTTGCTCGTCAGGTTTACAATGTATTTAGTCAGAACTGGCCATCTGTGGCAGAAGGAGTCTGGAATTTTCCCTTCTCTCAGATCCCCGAGGGTCCGGACCCGCTCCATCTCTGTCCCAAACGGATGGAACAGCTCCAGGGCCAAAACCCCAATGCTGTACATGTCTGACTGCAAGAGCAACATTTACTCTTAGTGTGAAAAAAAACAACATGTAGAGAGAAGAATGTGTTTGATCTAAAACTAAATCCATTCATAAACAGTCTAAACACAAAACAAAAATGTAAGTTTTATTTACCTTTGAATCATAATGAGAGCCTTTCAGTTGTTCTGGTGCAGCGTACACAAAAGTGCCGACACCTGATGTATGGGCGGAACCTGAAAACACAAAGAACCATTCAGAGGAAGTGGCGCCATCTACTGGTGTATTGTAAGAATGTAATAAGATGAAAGTTTAATAATTTACCATCACCAGGAGAAATTGTTCTTTTATGGTCATCTACTATCATATCCCTGCATGCCAACCCAAAGTCTCCGATCCGAACATGACATTCATGACCGTGGAGGAAAATGTTTCTGGGCTGGAAAAAAACAAAAGAAGGAAAAGTTATTGGGATTAATTTACCATGTGATCAGTTGTGAAAGTGGAGAAATCTAAGATTTCAGGGAAAAAATTTTTTAACTATGCTGCTGCTACCACATCATCTGCCGAGTATGCATAACGTATCCAAATGTAGGATTCAGTTTGTCAGAGAGAAAAAGTGAGACAGTTGTAACCACTGAGACATGAGAAACACATTTTGAGAAATAATGAAGTAGTAGGATCATCTCACTTAAGACTGCTGCAGAACTTTGACAAAAAGGATCTTATTCTTAGTTTATTTTAAAGCCTAACAATTGTTTAAAAGTTTATATTTTCAAGTGCTTGTAAATTTAAGCTCAACTGATATAAAACATCAGTGCATACATTTTTAACCCTCTGCAAAAAGTATTCTCTACAATTTTAAAATATTATAATACTCTTAAATCTAAGTCTCTTTTCAAACTCTAGTTAGAGTTCCTTCAAATGAAAGTATTATTTCAGAATGTTACTGACATATGTAGCAGAAACAGTTTGTAAATCCTTAAATAAGAGGCCAGAGACGCTTTTTATTTTTGTTTTAAAAGTCGGGCTCCGCTATCCGGAGGTCCATGTCTACTTGTGGGCTTTTAGATGCTCCACTGGGGTTTTAATATATTTAGCCAGAAATTATAAAGAATTGACCAACATTTTTAAATAAATATAGTAAAGAATAAATGCTAGCATCAGCAATTTTACTAGGGAATATTTTTGTGAAGCAAAACCATTGTATTTAAGAACGACGCAGTCGGAAGTGTAATTTAACCAAGACATATATACATTTTGCATTTAGGATAAAAAAAAAAAATAAAAATCATTGTCTGTAAATCTCTTCTACCCAGAATTCCTCAAGTGGCAGAGCTTTTGCTTGACCTTGGTTCAAATTCTGCAACAAGAAAATCTTCTATTATGAACCTTTTGCTAGTCAATCATTTATCTGACATTCCAAATATAACCACCAGCGTAGCACTACTCTCCATTGATGTTAAGTCCAGCAGAAAGTGCGAGAGCTTTTCACATGTTGATGTCGGCAGAATTTTTTTTTGCTGCAAATGTGTCCTTTGATGGAAATGATGAAGCAATCACTAAAGGAATGCTGTTAATGCATTTCAGGCAGTACAATGCTCATTTTCTTATTAAAAAATTTCTTATTTGTTTATTTGAATCTTATAAAATATATTTCTAAACCTGTATGACCAAATCATCATAATAAGCAAATAGTAAAATAACAGGAAGTTCCAGCTCCAATTTTTATGACATAAACATTCATGAAAATGTTTAAATAAAACAAAAAAAAGGAGTTCGTCCACCAATTTATTAAAAAAATAAAAATCAAATAATAATAATATTGAAAGTTTTTCTCAAGCAGTAACTATAAAAAGCACAATCATCATGTTATTGCAGTGACTCGTCCAGTGGGTGTCAACAGCCCCTTTTACAGGCCCTAAACGCAGCCAGGGTTATCAGATGGGACTGGACCGCAACGGCAAAGTTAGGTCAGAATGGCTCAGTACCAAACACAGAAGCAGAAGTCATTGATCAGAACACCAAATACAGGGAGGAGGAAGTTGATGTTGACATTTCATTTTAGATTTATTCTTTACCATGAAAAACCAGAATAACTAGAATCAAACCAATCAAAGTCTTAAAAAAGACTCTCAAAGCAGTCACTCTGCAATCCTCCAGCATGGACAAGGACCAAAGCAGAGACAAGAGAGATAAAGTTATTAAGATTTACAGAAATGAATTCTACACAGCCGTTCTGAATGAAGATGTCAGAGGAATAGAAGTATGGGAGCAACAGTCAGACAGAGATACAGGACGGTTCATCTGGAAGATGAGGCCCTTCTTTGGAAATGGCTTCTAAGAGAAACAATTTTAAACTTAAATTAACAAGTAGCGCCTTAAAAAGGCTAAAAGCTAGCCAAAATGCTGCAACTTCATGTTTAATGCTTGAAAATAAAATAAAGGTGGCTCATACACACAGCTATGTCTCTTGCTGCGTTAGGCAGAGCCATCCTTCCCCCCCACCTGACTCTACGTACAGAAGAGTCCACAGCCTGCAGAGTTTGCTGTCAGCTGGAGCTGATGATCAAGTCAAGTGCGTACAAACATCCCAGATATGTGTTTACAAGTTCACACACTTTGCAACCAGAACCTGAGAGCTGCTGTACTCTACCATATTTTTACACTACTTGCTAAGAGCTCAACCAGGAAAAACGAAACAAAACCACAAAGTCTAGACAGTGAGCGCACTGGTCTGGTTTTGGAACACAGATACCAAAGATGCCTTTTCCACAGGAACAAGCTGGTTCGGACATTGCTGCATTTGGTCATCATCAACTTGCCGATCACCACGACGACCCGGACAAAATTTATCTTCAAGTTCTGGACCACTGTGGCGAGAGCAAGCAGGCAGGCTGAAGCCTGTTTACGGCTGCTCTGTAAGCACGGAGCTGACGTCAACGCGCAGGTGAGGTTGAACACGTCCTACCCAAATTCCGAACATGAAATAAAAAAAGTAATTAACAATGACATTTCAAAATAGAGTTTTGCCATTGTTGATTTGCTGTTTCTTACTAGATGGATGATCAGAGTCAGCAGACGCCTCTCCATCTGTCAGTGCGTTACAGAGCACTATTCAGCTGCGTCGACAACGTGAATGCAGTGGACAGCAGTGGACATAGCATCTAGTTTAATCAGCCACGGAGCTCACGTCAACTTGTTGCTACTTACGCACACATTTCAACTTATACCTATAAATAAGTCTTAAAGGGGCGGTGTTATGTATATCAAGGGATTCCTCAAACATGTATAAAATAATCAAAGCAACACCCCAGATATATTTTAACAAGGGAATGACATCATGACATGACATAAAGTTCAAAAAGGTTAATTTTACATCATATCCCCCCCTTTAAAGAATGCTGTTTTCAACTATGTATTGAATAAAATTTTGTTTTCCAGAGGATGCATCACTCTGGGAACACTCCTCTGCACCTCGCTGCAGTTGCAGTGATGACAAAAACAACAAAATTCCTGGATGAAGACGTGTGCTGGATCTGTGAGCTACAAGCCAAACACTGTAAACGAGGCCGGTATGTCGCCATTCCACCAAGCGTGCAGCCTGGGGAACGAGCAGCTAGTGGACCTGCTGCTGAGATACAGAGCTGGTGTCAACAAGCTGAGTGCAGCAGGGGAGAGCTGTCTGTTCCTGTTCCTGAACCACACGCCTAACATGAGGAACAGCTCCCTGCTGATCAAACTCCTCACCCTGAGCGCCCTGCTCACAATCTGCAGCCACGACAGCTGCTTATCCTCCACCTTAACTCAGCCACGCTTCTTTAAACAGAGAGAGCAACTGATCCAACTAACCCAGCAGCCAAAGAGACTTTGGGATATTTGCAAAAGTAATATTTATCTGAAACACATCAGAGGAAGAAAGGAGGAGCTGAGAAAAGTTATTCCTGAAAACCTATACAACTTTGTCTTCAACCAATGGAAAATACAAAACCTTTTGTTTGTGACAGAGTGAAGAGGTTCAACATGCATGAACCTGAGCTACAAGATTTGAACCATTCAGCTGAGATAAGATTTAATGCCTAAAGTATTCTCTACCTTAAAGATTTTCACTGCCTGTCACATTAAAAACACAAACTTCCTTGAATTTTATGCTGAGCAATACATAACTAAACTGGAAGGCAAATTATATTTTTTTTTTTCCTCAAATAAAATATCTAAACACTGAGGTGTGTTTCTATTGAACCTGTTACTCTAACACAGGGACTGCAGCCTTACAAACTAAGTATTAGTTTTATCCCTTCAGATAAACAAAAGCTACTAAGAGCAAAAAGATGTTACATAACTTTCTCCGAAAGGCAAACTTAAATGCTTTAATAAATATAAATCATAGGAAATGTGAGGTCGTTCTTACAGAACCCTGATTTTGTTTTTGGCTTCAAGACAAAGAAAAACAAAACATTTACAAAAAAAAAGGGCTAATGCATTATTTTTCAATGGGAAGATAATGCTGTGGAAAATTATGTAAAACATAAAAAAAAGACTATTTCTAAGGTAATAATGAGAAATAAATAACAGTACTGACAGTTGTGTCATTTTGTTGTAAAAATTCAGGGCAGAATTGATTAAATACTAAAAAACTTTTTAAAAAATTAGAGTTGTTGCATCTGTACTAAAATAAACATTTTTGTTGCTGCATTTTTGTGTTAGCGAAATTTGTTGTAGCCGTTGTAGATTTTACAAGCTCACAAGCTGCAGGTTGCAGACCTGTGCCCTAACACATCTAGTAAGACTCCAGTGCAATCATTAAGCTTCTTTAAAAAACAGAGTACCTCAGAGAGTACTATTGGCAAGTAAATGGTTGTTCTCATGGGGAGGCAACTCACTCTGCCAGAATAAGCAGTTCCTCTCCAAAACAGTTGGTGGCAGCAGTGACGTGTGCTCAGTTAGGTGTATATCTATTCAAAACTAAACATCTCACGGAGCTCTGAATGACACATCAGCCACAACAGGAATGAGTCAGACTTAGAGTCAGTCAAAAGGCCAGTGGTACCTCTGGATGAATTGCAGAGATTCACAGCTCAGGTGGGAGAATGTGTCAACAGGGCAGATAGAAGTTCATTCCGATAATGTCACAATCTCTGCACCCCACAAGAAGTGTAACTGTAACTAAACAGTTACTTCTTTCTACCACTTCTCAGACATGTTAAATGGGATTTTTGTTGGGTGTGTGTATGTAGATGGTTATGTATGGATGGGTGTGTTCACACTGGGTATGAATGAACTTTAGAGATTTATTTGGGTCTGCATTTCGTTAGTGGATGAATTGATTGATATAAATTTACTTAGAAGGGTTTATTTTTTCTTTTTCTTTGTCATATGTTCAACTGTGTGTATGTGTATGCACGTGAGTGTGCATGTATGTATGCATAAATATACAGATGCATAGATTCATACTAGAATTAATGTGGATATGCTCAAGGAAATGGATGTGACATGTCTGGAATTAATCAGTAAAATCGAAACAAAATCAAACAATAAATAATTTCAAAAGGTGGTTCAACAGAGTGTTGACTAATAGAAGAACTGTAGAGAAATTCTAACTCTAACAGGTCCATAAAAGCTTTGTTTTGGTCTATCTCATAACGTTTCATTGAAAAAGTACTTCATTTAAAATCTGTAGCTGTAGTGTGACAAATGTGGAGAAACTTAAAAAGTTGTCCACACATTAGTGGACAATTTCCAGATTTGCTTTTGCAAAACAATTAAAGCTGTAGAAACCTAAATAAACAAGATGAGAAATAAAATCTAGTGCGGTTACCTTCAAGTCTCGGTGCATTATTCCTCTGGAGTGAATGTATTCGACCCCTTGAAGAATGTTCCTCAGCAGGTTCAGTGTGAGTTCAGCATCAACACAGTCATAAGGAGCTGCAGACACAAGCAGAAGAAATTGGACCATTTTTATACCACAAATTGTTCAAAGTAGAGAACTCATTTCAAGTTGCATAAATATAAGGAAACTGAGTTTTTGGTGGATTGCAGAGAATGTAAACATGTTTACATCTCGGAATGTGTTCCTCTTGTGGCCTGGAGTTCCTGTCAGAAATCCAGTCCTTTAGTGAGCGCTCACACAACTGCATCTGGATGTACAGCATCAGGTGGAACTGAACCTGCACATGGAAAAAAAAACTAATATTAAATGATACATAGGGATATACTGATCCACTTTTTTTATTTCCGATATCTGAGCTTTAGTGTCTGATACATAAAAACAGCTGAATTAACGCAAAACGTTTCTTTTTTTAAAAAGACATAAAAGCAATTAATTACTAATTAATTTACTAACTCTGCACCAGAACAGCACACTGAAATACACCAACAGCTCCACTAGTTTGGCCAAACATGTAAAAACTACATTTAATATATTCAGTCAGTGCAAACAGGAGCAGAAAAACTAATGTAAAATAAATAATAAAGAAACAAAGTAAAAAAATCAATAAATTGACTATTGATTTCAAACAAAAAATTGGTCCAAATATTTTGTTGGACCGCCATTTGGGACATACCTCTACCAGCTTTGTCCATCTCGAAACATTTAAACATTTCTACTTGGTCAAACTTTCAAAAAATAAACTAACAAACCTTTCTAATGGTTCAGAAAGTGCAATTAGGAATTCTAAATATAAAATGAATAAATAATACAGCATGACGTAGCTCAGAGCACAAAGCACACATTTAGACTGAGTAGATCTGATTGATTGCACACATTGCTACCAATACCCTATCTGGAGTTGTTTTCAAAATGTGGGGGCTGATACAGATATTAACATTGGATCAGTGCATCACTATTGTTTATGATGTTCTGCTTACAGAAAAATCAGGAAGAAAAAAAAGACAAAGTAGTGGTCATGAGAATTTAAAACACCTACATCTTTAGAGGATCTTCTGGTGTGGATCTCAGCCCACTGCTGATGGTCCTTGTCAACACAGGAGTTGTTGTTCAGCTCAACGCTGCCCCTGCTCGAGTCCTCGTCCAACATGGCCGACTGATCCCAACCCATGGCAGGACACTTGGAGCCATTCCTGGGCTCCCCCTGTCCCAGGAACACACAGGGAACGTAATTCTCCGGGAGGCGGCGCACTGTCTTGGGACACACCACCTGGTGGTCCTGGGCTGAGACTAAAGCTCTGATTGGCTGGCTCTTTGTTGGAGGTACTTTAGCACTGGAAGTAGCACTAGTCTCTCCTTGACTTTGGAAAACTATAGAAGAGCTGCTGCTGCTACTGTTGTCAAGGCTGTCATCGAAACTGTGAATGAAATAATGAAATAGTGAATAATGAAATAAGTACAGGAGGTGTACTGTCAGTTAGGGGCAGCAACAGGCTAATGCAACTAAAGAATATTGAGAGAAAGGAATGACTAATCATACCCATCTTTTTGTCCAGGAGATTCCAGAGCAGGAAGGTGGGACTCAGGATCTACAATAAAGGAGGTTATCAAAGCCAGAGTTAGGACAGATCAGTCTAAATCTTCTTTCATTAATGTTGAATCAACTTGTTTCATGATAAAGACTCACGGACGGCTGGCTGAACATGTTCCATCCATGCAGTGTGATAGCCCACGATGTTTACATGCTGCAAGCTGGATAACACTTTGACTTCTCTAAGGACCTAGAAGTCAAAGTTAGATTGAGGTTCTGCCATCGATCAGGAGGAAATGTGAAACTAAAACATTTCTTTTGAAACAATTCAAAAATAAAACCCCCGTCTAAATTTGTAGCTGTGTGCCAGGTTCACATGGCAACATGCTAAATTTGTTGATTGATTTTCAAAGCCTAAGAGCCTAAACATGATGACAAAAATCATAGATATAACTGGCTTGGTCCTGCAGTGTGTGGCGTTCAGTCACACACAAACCACACACAGGTTTCCTTCACCAACATTCAGATGACAGTCAGGAAAGCTCACAAAAAGTCAGCAATAAAATCTTGTCGTGTGAACCAGGAATTAGAAATATGTCACCTTCCAAAAGAATTCACACTCATTGAGGTTTTTTAGATATTTTATGAAAGACTCACACAGAATTATTTTACTATTGTTCGTTATTGTTTAAGACTTTTACAAACAAAATTTAAAAGTGTGCTGCTTTTTTGTTGGACCACCATTTGGGTCATACCTCTACCAGCTTTGTCCACCCAGAAACATTTAAACATTTCTACCAACTAATCTTTCAAAAAAAAAAAAAAAAAACATGTTTTGTGAAACATTTTTAAAGTCAAATCCATATTTTTCCCACATGACAAATCTGAACTACTTTGTTTGGTCTATTAAATAAAGCCCCAATACAAGATACTAAAGTTGTCATTTCTGAGTAAAACTATAAATAAACAATAGTCTGTGAGGTAGTAATTGATAATATTCACAATTACATTCAATGAACTTCAAATAATTATCAAAGCTGGAGCAAAACACTGTTGGTCCCATGCCAAAGGCAAGCAGATGACCAAACATATGGATGATTTCAGTCCATGTGTTTTTACAAGAAAGAAAAAAAAAACACTTTCTGTTGAGTAGCGTGAGGCATATTACATCATAAGAGATATAATGCAGTTTATGTCTTTAATTTTACAGGGAAGCCAACCTTCATGCAGTCCTCTTTGGAGACTCTTTTGATGAGAATTTTCTTCACAGCATAACTCTGGCCATCTAGTTTGTTCACAACCTACAAAATGATAATCAAAAAATCACAGTTACAATTACATTAAAGTAAATTAAATTTGAACATGAAAAGAAGTTTTAAAAGAATTTGGGGAAAAAAATGATCATTGTAATACCTTAAAAACATTTCCGTATGATCCTTTTCCAAGCCGACATATTTCTTCAAACTCACTAAGATAGCGTGAAGTCTGGGCTTGAAACAGCCCCTCCTTTGGCCTGTGGTCAGATCAGACTGTTAGAGTACAAAAAATAGCTAGAAAGAAAAACAGAAATAACTCTAGACACGTTACCTTACAGCTGGGTTATGTGGATTTGTGCCAAGACATTGTTGGCCCTGTGAATAAAACAAAAGTAACAATAAATTAACTAATTTGTTAAAACAAAACTTCTTTTCTTCCCCCCCAAAGTGTCAAACACCATATCCACAACTTCATTAAACATCTAAGCGTCCATAACACCTTCATCTTCCTGATATTTTGTCACAAACTTCAATGGTTTTTATAAAGACTATGTGGCAGAGCAACACAAAGTAGCACAAAACTGCAATTACGTTCCCCACAAGACTTGCAGCAAAATGTGAAAGTACAAATAAATAACTCAAACATGCTGAACAAAAGTGGACGCCAAATAGTGTTTTCATTCTTATTTGTGAATAAATAATTCCTGTGATTACATCAATTTCCAGTAAAGTACATTAAACTTTGCTGTTGTGTTCATCACAAAACTGCTGCACTATACCTGTGGATAGAGCGAGGTGCTAGCGGCGTTAAGTAGCTCAGTGAACGCTCGGTTGTGCTGGAGTCTAATGGTGCTGAATTCATCACTGATAGCCAAAGGTGACAGAAGATTCAAGGCTGCCAAACGCTGGCCGATCACTGTCAGAGAAGGAGAACAATTCAAATATCTGCTTTATGTGACGGTGTATGAAACATGAAGCCTGCTGAGCGGCTACATTTGAACAGCATCCGCGAGCGCGCCGGATTGCTCTCGTAGACGCAGCACAGGTGTTCCAGCAGCGAGCCGAGGAGAAGGTGATTGGGGATCGCTGAGGCAAACTCTTGGATGGATGGGTAATGTCTGCCAGCCATCAGGAGTTCACAGTTACTCTCCGAATCTGAAGCTGAGCGTACACACAAAACACACAATGAATATTCTTTTAAAAAATATATATTGTTCTATGGTTAATATTTGGAAAATAGTATACTTTAAGTTTAGCCACATACCTTCTTCAAATACTTTTGCTATCATTTCAACAATGTTTCTGTCTCCTATGTCCATGTTTGACAATGAAAGCGTTAATGAGTCTTCCCTCTGACTGCAGTACATGAAGTGAACTCATCTTATTTATACATAAGGGAGCGCCCAGGAGCCAGGCTTATCTACTATGTCCAGTGGAGACCAACCCAACCTCTCTTCAACACACACACACACACACGCACGCACACACACACACGACTAAGATGACATGTGCCAAAAAGGGAACGTGGTGGGGGGTTAAAGGGGTTAGTGAGGCACACTTGCCTTCTCCTCATGATGCAGAATGTGTGTACGTGTGTGTGTGTGTGTGTGTGTGTGTGTGTGTGTGTGTGTGTGTGTGTGTGTGTGTGTGTGTGTGTGTGTGTGTGTGTACAAACACACACACACACACACCAATTGTCTTGAACGTTTTCAAAATATTATAAAAGGAAACCCAGTGGAGCAATTAAATATTATGAATATTCTGTAGAAATGGGAATTTTACCAACAAAATAGACACAAGCAGCTTAGTGGTATCAAAGCACACAAAGCTTTTTATTTTTTAAGTAACATTTTAAAATCCACTGATAGAGATCCTACAGTTTCAGGTTCTGTTAAAAAACGTCAGAGGAAGAGCCAGATTGGCCGGCTTCACAGAGAACTGAAAAACGGAGCGATGCTCTGCAGAAATCACAATAAACTGACTGTTTACATTCAGCTGAGTTTCTCGGAATAGGGCTGCATATTTTAGGATTTAAATTGTCCATTTATTTACTACTGTATAGCTTTTGTATGATTGTTTACTGTACTTTATACTATTTGAATAGAATAATCCTCCATTTGACCCTGACTGGGGACATTCAAGTGTATTGGAAGCAAAGTAATAAGTAAAGGTAGCAAAAAATAAATAATTTAAGTAAAATAAAAATAGAGGCTGCTCAGTAATGCCAAAATGTATGTAAACATGACTATTATAATGGCAAACATATCTTGTAAGAACAAACGTTAAGATAAAATTAAGAAGTTTGATTCAATTCAAAGATACCTTATCTAACCCAAAGAGAAATTAATCACTCATATTGGAAAAATGAGTCTCTTCTGAGAGGCTTTGTGGTTTGTGATGCTGTGGGCAGGAAGGATCTCTGGTAGCAGTCAGTCTTGCAACAAATATGAAAAAGCCTCTGACTGAAGACAGTGGCAATATGACAGCCTCACAAGTATCATGACATTCTAACAACTCCATTTCCAAGCAGCAAAGATGAGATTCCACAGTAGCATCTTGGATGACATCAACAGTTCATGGAAAGCTCTGCTAATCCTCCTCATTTGCTTTTGCCACACTTCTTCAAATCTGTGCCTGGTCATACTGTTAGAAACCCGGGCAGTCGGGATATGACGATTTGATCTTCCTTCTTCTCGTTCTGCTCTGAATCCTCAAAGCCTCTTTTTCAACTCCTCTGGGAAATGGGCTTTTTGAGATGCTGATCAGAATTGTAAAAACTATACCTTGTTGTCATGGTTAGGCATAATTGTTTTAAACTTTTTAAATACCAAGATACAGCGATATTGTTGCCATCACCATGGAAATCTCATTACATAGTAGACATTACACCCAACTGCAGATTGTTGGTTTGGAACGATAATCTTTAATCCTTTACCTCACTCTTTACTGAATAACAAAAAGCCCAAATAAAAACAATCACTCGGATAAACTCAGCTTATTAATACTGGAGAGAAAGAGGAAAAACAGGACAATGCTGGAAAATTGTTTTTGTGGATGCCATAAATTTGTTTTTAAGCAACATACATGCATATATATATACATACATACATACATACATATATATATATATATATATATATATATATATATATATATATATATATATATATATATATTGTGTGTGGGTAAATTTTTACATTCATCACCTCTGAAATAGTAAATCAATTTAAAAATATACAGAAAACATTTCATCAGTCCCCTAACAGTTGAAGATTTTTAGAGCTTGCGCCTTAAAAAGATAATAATGGTTGAATATCAAAGGTGAACTCTTAATTAGTAATAGTAATTAAGATAATCCATGAAGAAAATTGCACAACACATTTGTCATATCAATATTAACTATCATATCTTAAATCTAACATCTCTTTAACTCATTCATATAATCAAATAAGGTCACAGTGATGTCTCGCGGGATCTGGAAAAGCTCCATCAATGAACATTTTATAATTATATATAGATTTTTTTATTATTATTGTACCAGTGTATCAATAAATGCGATGTAAACAAATTATTCGATAAAATTGAAATTCTTGTAAAAGAAGCACAGCTGCTTACTGTCAAACTGGACGTCTTCGTCCTCTTCGCTCGTCAAACTTAACAAGCTAATGCTGCTCTCAACCTGGTGTCTCCGGACAGAACTGAGGTTCCGGTGGACCAACAGGTTGCTAGCGCTGCCAGAACATTCCTCAGAGCGCATCAGACCGTTGTCCGGCGTCGAACTGTACATTTTAAACGCGAATGACAAAAAAAATAAAACTAAACCATTTTTCTACAGTGTTGCCAAGTTCGCAACGGCTACCCTCATGTTAATCGCTAACTACGGATAGAGAGTCGCCTTTAAAACTTTTACGGAACTTGTCAGAAAAGAAAGCTAAGGGGAAAAGTCCCGAGCGTCCCCTGTCAACTGTCGGCCATGTTTGAGGAGCAGCCGGTTTAAAGGGACCGTCATAAAATGCGCTCACCATAATAAGAAAACAGGCTGTTCCTTTATAATTATTCTCCAAAACAAGAAACGCGTCCAAAATACAAGTAATTATCTGATCATAAAGGCAAACGTTTTTAAACTAATTGGCATATTTGGTGAAATTATTTACTAAACAAAATAGTATTCGTTTTTAGGATATACGACAAATATCCATGAGCCCTAACATCCGATGATGAAATTCAACAGAGGTTTGGAAAATAGTTTTAACAAAAGTACCACAAGGTGCATTCTTTGTTTTATGTTTGGGTTCTAATTACACGTTTTGTATATTCTTTATAGAGCTTAATCTTTACATGCTTTTCCTTCTTGTCATAGTAAGCTGCGCAGTGTTGCGCGGTAGTAACGCTCACGAACATTGTGCACAAACAGCGCGGGAGAGAGAGCTTCATCTCGGTGTTCCTGCTGTTATGGCAGATAACCAGCTGAGGTAGTGGTCCGTTTGAGTTCAGGCTGTGGACATAGGAGGGATCCAGAGGAAAGATGTCCGATGTTTGGTAAGTCAACTGTCTCATTTTAGTTTTTCCCCTCCAGAATTATTGGTCTTGAAGCTGTAGTCACTTCAGTGCTTCAGGTCAAAAATGAAGTCCAGGGGACATAACTCTGTGAAACTGCCTTTGCTGTCTAAACCCTGCACTGCCTTCTGAAGGTATAGCCTCTCGTTCATTTTGTGGTTCGTAACTGAAAAGTAGCAGGAAAATAATGAGTTGTTGATTGTATTTGTCTTGTTGTGAAACACCTGAAAAATGTGAAATTGTGTTCAACCTCCAAATCACAACCTGGAACCTGTTTTCATTGTAATTAGGGATACAAATGTTATTAATTATTCCTCTACTTGCTGAAATTTCCAAGTCTTGGATATTGGTGCAGTCTTTCAGTTGGATTTAGGTTTTGACTGGGCCATTGTTATACGTCTTTATGCTTTGATCACCTCTCCATAACAGTGTTTGTGTACTTGGGCTCTTTATGTTGCTAGGTGAATGTCCTCCCTGCTCTCCAGTCTCTTGCAGCGTCTAACAGTTTTCCTGTCATCAGTGCTTTGTTAGGGTGGCCCTGAAGTGCAAAGCGCTACAGCAAATTGAAAGCACAATTACAAATAACAAAAGTGTTACAGCATTAACAAAAACACTACAACATTAAGGAAAACACTACAACATGAACGAAAATACTACATGAACGAAAATACTACATGAACGAAAACACTACAACATGAAGGAAAATAATACATGAACGAAAACACTACAACATGAACGAAAACACTACAACATGAAGGAAAATAATACATGAACGAAAACACTACAACATGAACGAAAACACTACAACATGAACGAAAACACTACAACATGAAGAAAAATACTACAACATGAATGAAAATACTACATGAACGAAAACACTACAACATGAAGGAAAACACTACAACATGAACGAAAACACTACAACATGAACGAAAACACTAAAACATGAAGGAAAACACTACAACATGAACGAAAATACTAAACATGAAGGAAAATACTACAACATGAAGGAAAACACTACAACATGAACGAAAATACTAAACATGAACGAAAACACTAAAACATGAAGGAAAACACTACAACATGAACGAAAATACTAAACATGAAGGAAAACACTACAACATGAACGAAAACACTACAACATGAACGAAAACACTACAACATGAACGAAAACACTACAACATGAACGAAAACACTACAACATGAAGGAAAACACTACAACATGAACGAAAATACTAAACATGAAGGAAAATACTACAACATGAAGGAAAACACTACAACATGAACGAAAATACTAAACATGAAGGAAAACACTACAACATGAAGGAAAACACTACAACATGAATGAAAACACTACAACATGAACGAAAAAAAAACACTACAACTTTAAGGAAAACACTACAACATGAACTCATCAAACTCATCGTACTCTTCGAAGCACTTGTCTTGAGAGATCCAATTCTCTGCTCTTTCTTCCCCAGGCCAGGGAAGGATTGTAAAGGAATGCATTAAAATCGTCGATCCACACATCCTCAGAGGTGAGACTTTTCTCTGAGCAATCTTCTCCAGCCGGAGATGAATTGAAGAAAACAACATCATAATCGTCAATGCACTCATCCTGAGAAGCATTTGTCTCAAACTTTATGCCAGGAAGTATTTTGTTAAAGACTTTTTTTTTACTCTGGTGGTAATGAAATATCCTGCAAAAGACAGTGGAAAAAACATTGTGACTAAAATCTCTTCCATATCGAAAGTAGTTGCTAAACAAAATGCTGATTGTCAAAGAGTCGCTTGGAACTGATACCTGATGATTTGAGATCCAAGCCTTTATAGTCTCAGATGTTCTTAAATCTATGACATAAGTCTATGTCATAGAAGAGGTCAATGTCTTGCTTCTGATCGTTGCTATGGAAACAGTCAGATTAGTTCTGCATGATTCAGATTATTAACCCTTTGCAACTGCGTCACTTTATCATTCGGATGTCGGAAATGAACGATGGGAGAATCGAACAGAATGACTTAATGTTGTAGTGTTTTCCTTTATGTTGTAGTGTTTTTATTCAGGTTGTAGCGCTTTTGTTATTTGTAATTGTGTTTTCAATTTGCTGCAGCGCTTTGCACTTCAGGGCCACCGTACTCTGTTCATCTCAACTTCATACCCACTTCCTAGTCCCACCACATGGAACTGTGGGTTGTGTCTCTTCAGGCTAATGTGTACTGTTAGTTTTCCTTCACTCAGATTTTTTTTGCATGAAGTTGAGTTTTGGTCTCATCAGACCAATGCAGGGGGGCTCTATGTATTAGCTGGCATTTTGAAGTAACAGGAATTAATCTTATTGCCATTACTGTTTAAAACTTCACTTATTACTTTTTTTGTCTATGGCAACATTTAAAAGTCCCTGGTGTCTACGGTCTATTTTTAGCATGAGAAGTTTTCCACCTGCAGCTCTCGCTGCTCTTATTTCTTCTCAGCACTTCTGAGCCTGCTGGAGCCATAAGGGCCATTGACAAGCACTCAGTTCATCGGATCTGCTCTGGACAAGTAGTTCTGAGTCTGGCCACGGCCGTCAAAGAGCTGGTGGAGAACAGCATTGATGCAGGAGCAACCAATGTTGGTGAGCAGAACACAAAGTGTACTTCTGAAACACAAAACAGATGCTTTATCTTATAGTCTAAACTCTAGAATGTATCTCTTTGTGTATTTAACAGAAAGCTTTGCACATTTACCTTTTAGTTTGTTTATCTGATTCTCAGCATTTCTGCCACACCATTAGATGCTTGTGTTATTAATACGCTTCTAGGAAACTAAGTCTGCACATGTCCGCTTGTCTTTCCTTATTAACCCACCATCCCTTGTTACTCCAGAGGTCAAGCTGAAGGAGTGTGGTGCTGAACAAATAGAAGTGTCTGACAATGGCAGAGGCGTCGAAGAGGCGAACTTTAAAGGACTAGGTATGTGGAATCTTCGTAATTCCAAATAATCTAGAAAAATCTGGAGAAGTATGAAATTTACTTTTTGGATAAGTATAGGCAAATATTTCCAAGTATTTCAAGATTTTGTTCCCTTACCCATTGTCTAAATGTTATGTCCGTCTGTCCATGCATCCATCATTTTGTTTTTAAAGACAAACCTCTCCAGAATCACCTGCAGTAAATTCAAAGTCAGTTTGATCTGTAACTCTACTTGAACTGAAGTCTGAATTCTGGAAATCTGGATTAGAAAAATTAAGACATTTTGAGATGAAAAACCTCAATGAACCATGTGTGCATGATGCTGTGCCTTCCTCTCCTGCCTGCTCCACAGCACTAAAGCATCACACCTCAAAGCTGAGGGATTTCTCTGACCTGATCCACGTGGAAACATTCGGCTTTCGAGGCGAAGCCTTGAGCTCTTTGTCTGCTCTCAGGTAAAGTCACCTTTATTCTGTTCACAAAGCCCACTGCAAAAGTCAGATCATAATCACCCCTCGTCCCGCCTTGTGCTTACAGTGACCTGAGTGTGATTACATGCCATGAATCCAGCCAAGTAGGCACCAAGTTGGTGTTTGACCACAAAGGTCACCTTGTGCAGCAGTCCCCCTGTCCCAGGCAGCAGGGCACCACGGTAACGCTGCAGCAGCTCTTCTACACGCTGCCCGTCAGGCACAAGGAGTTCCAGCGGAATATCAAGAAGGTCAGCAATTAAACAGTTTAGACTGGGATGTCCATGGTCGAATGTATGTAACAAGTCATATTTATACTAATTCTTTTTTATTTATTTTGTAAATGTGTACTTCTAGTTGTGGAGTTCATTTGTTAGCTTGATGAACAACAATATGATGGAAAGATCTTAGAATAACCAGTATGTTGCTTCCCTTCTTAAAGGATTTATGCTATAATCTGGTGATGAGCGATTGCAGCTGAGAAAAAAACAAAACAATCAATCAATTACAAAACCAACTGCTGAATTATATTACACAATGTGAACTAAGAACAACATGTGATGTATGACAGAAGGTCTCTGACAAAAATATTGTTAACTTCATATTAAACTTCAAAAGGTCCCAGGAAACTTACAAGTGAAAACACAAATGAGAGAAAGAATAAAATGATGAGGCTCATTGAGTCTGACTCTGTTCTGGAACATCTGGAGATGATAGTGCTCAAGGGGATTCTTCATAAAACACAGAACATTTTGGACAATCCTGAGCATCCGCTTGATCAGACTGTCATCCAACATCAAGGTGTCTTCAGTCAGAGGCTTCTTCAGGTCCTCTAATATTCACTGCTACAGGAGATCCTTCCCACCCTGAACCAACAGCATCCACAAAAACCCTTGGATGAAAATTCTATAAGACGACTTGAGGATTAATAAAGTTTATTTGAACTCGATAGAATGAAATTGGACAAACGAACGGATGGATGGATGGTAATTTTAGAATTTAGTTTCCTGCTGCATCAGTCCTTATTCCAAAAATGTATAAATAGATTAAAAGCTCATCACCAGTTACTCATAATACTTTAATCACCCACTAATTAAAGATTGTTGTTGTCATCATGTTAAATAATCCAATAACATTTTTAAAACAATCTTGTTAGAAGTCAGACATATGCTCTGCTTTGTCTCAGTTTTTTCCTTAACTGTGTTACGTTTTCTTTTATTTGAATGTAGTAAATACCCAGTCATTTTTATCCTTAATCTGAAACGTTGCTTGGTTTTCAGGAGTTTTCTAAAATGACCCACGTCCTGCAGGCCTACTGCATCATCTCGACAGGAGTCCGTATCACCTGCTCCAACCAAACCGGCCAGGGAAAGCGCAGTGCCGTCCTCAGCACCGGTGGCAGCCAGAGTATGAGAGACAACATCGGAGCCATATTTGGACCAAAACAGGTTCTGGCTTTTTTTACCCTAATTTAAGGCAGCAGCACCAGGATATTCCCAAAGCCAGTTTTCCTCACCACTGGTTTTCCTTCCGTGCCCTGCAGCTGCAGAGTCTTCTCACGTTCCAGCAAGTTTGTCCGTCAGAGAATATCATGGAGGAATATGGACTTAAAGTCGGAGACTTACCCAAACAGCTTTTTACGTGAGTGGCGTGTTCTTATTAAATGACATCAATCCTTTTGTCGTTGCTTTAAATCCAAATGCTTTGTGCAGGATTTCAGGCTTTGTGTCCTCCGGGGACCACAGTGTGGGGCGGAGCGCCTCAGACCGCCAGTTCTTCTTCATCAACAGCCGCCCATGTGACCCAGTGAAGGTCATTATGGTTGAAGGCTTTTAACTGAGTTTGTATTTTCCACCTAACTATTTTTAAAAAATTTTTTTACCTTGTAGGTCAGCAAACTTGTCAATGAAGTGTACCACATGTACAACAGACATCAGTATCCATTTGTTGCCCTGAACATAGCTGTTGTCTCAGGTGAGAAAATTAACAAAATAAAACATTATTCCTGAAATGAGGTGATGGATTTAAGGTTCAGTTGCTTCCTACCACACCATGAAATTTTCTTGAAGGGTTTTCCAGCTCAATTGAAATCAGGTTCAATTAAATGTCGTCTCCAGATGCTTGACAATGAATGAAGCAACTGGGACACAAAGGGCCGAGCTAACGTGGGCATGATGCAAACTGTCCACCAAATAAATATGGTCACATTGCGATTAACACAGAATGAGAGAGAGACTTTACGAGTTCTGAGTAGAATAAGATCAATAATTAAATGGTTTAGTTAAATAAACAAAATACTGAATATTACATTAATAGCAGTCAATTAGATACAATACATATCTGAATAAAACATTTCCTAATTAGAATCAAGTTATTTATAAGTCACACATTTTCTTATGAAATGCACCCTGTACATAAAAGGCTAAGCTAGAAATACTATTTGTTTCACAAAAACCTTCTAACAACCTCACATGAAATAATGTAGTTAAACAAGAATTTGAGTTTGGAAAAATGTTAGTATTGGTACGGCCTTGTCAGTAGAAAAAAAACAAAAAATTCTCGAAAAAAATCTCTGAAACTTTGTGGTTAATCTCAGAAATTTTCTAAAAAAAAACAAAAAACTTGAGTTTCAACAGCCAAAAATTCTTGACATTTGGAAATGTTTTGAATTTCAACCATTTGTAACTCAGAAATGTTCTTGGTTTTTTGAAATAAAATTTCTGTGATTAGTCTCAAAATGTCTGAGTTTTTTTGATGGAAATTTACTCCTTTTTTATTTTTCTCTCTATAAAGGCTCTATTACACCATTGTAGTGATCTCTAAACGTTAGATTCATCCATTGTCTTTACATTCTTCTTCTTTTCAGGGTAAAAATCAAGTGTGGAGATAGAGTCTTAACAAGAATGCAGTAACCCTGCAGGGTCTCTTCTGTGATTTTTTGTTGTTTGTTGTTCCCAGACTGCGTGGATGTGAACGTAACGCCTGACAAACGACAGATTTTCCTTCATGAGGAGAAGCTCTTACTCGCCATCCTAAAGTCTTCTCTCATCAACATGTATGAAGCTGGAGTAAATAAGCTCAGCCTGAACTATACACCGAGTGAGAATTTGTCTTTGCTTGCTTCTATAATGTTCTCTTTTTTTATTTTACATCTTTTATTTTGAAAGTGTCTGTTTTCTGTTTCTTTCTAGCTGTATCGTCTGCATCTAAAGAAGTTCACCTTCCTGTTGAAGACAAAGCAGAATCTACGGAGAACAACCAACCCAGCACCCTGAGCCCAACGTCACCCATGAACCTCGCTGCCCTCAAAGCTGCTTTCTCAAACCAGAACAGCGCCCTCTCTGGGAGTAAGTCAAGCACGGAAAAAGCTTCCAAAATCGGGCCGAGCCAGAAAACGCTGAAGTGTTTCTTTGAGGGCTCAGTTAAATCACCATTACGACTCAGAACAGAGGCAACTAAAGGCAGCCTGGGAGCCCAGGCAGAGCTCCGTGGGTTCAGGAATGAAGAGGTGTCAATCAGGGAGAAGGACTCTGAACCTGAACGAGACTTGGTAGTAGAATCACCAGATCCACAGCACCCAGACTCCTCTGAACAAGTTGTTGAAAATGTAAAGGATGACTCCGAAGCACGTACACCTGTCAAGGATTCCGTCATTTTCCCCGAAGCTAAAAGACCCAGACGAGATGATCCATGTTTCACCGCAGAGGAAACGCCTGACACGGCTTCCTCCACGGCCGACGTTCCCATCTGTCTGCAGAAGAAGACCGTGCCGCTGCATTTCTGTCTGCAAGCCCTGGCAGCTGGCATCAAGAGGCTGCAGCAGCAGCAGAGAAGGCGAGCCGCAGACAAGTTGCGTTACAGGCGCTTCAGGGCCAACATCAGCCCTGGAGAAAACCAGAGAGCAGAGGACGAGCTCCGCAGAGAGATCAGGTGGGACTGTACTCGGTTAGGGCTGTGCGATATGGACTTAATATTAGTACTTTGTGTTGATGTATCCCATAAAATTCTACTTAGCAATAAAAGGTTTGTGGTCATAACCTTACAAATGTGGAAACGTTCAGCTGTATTCAACATGTCAGGCTTTTCTTAGCTGGGTTTGTGTGCAGTTTGTGGTTTAGTACAAATAGTTGTTTTCTTTTCTACTTTTTTGTAGTAAGGACATGTTTAAGAAAATGGAGATCGTCGGTCAGTTTAACCTGGGCTTCATCATCACCAAGCTGAACTCAGACATCTTTATGATTGACCAACACGCCACCGATGAGAAATACAACTTTGAGATGCTGCAGCAGCACACTGTGCTCCAAGGACAGAGGCTCATTGTGTAAGCATACTGAGTCTACTTGGTACTGTGTCCAGACTCTAATTTGTTTTGTGTCTTATGGCTCCAGCCCACAGAAACTCCACCTGACTGCAGTCAGTGAGAACGTGCTCTTAGAGAACGTTGAGATCTTCCAGAAGAACGGCTTTGAGTTCCTGATCGATGAAGACGGTAGGACTGTCATCAGAGGTCTTCAGGCAGGAAGAAATGTTCCTGCATATTCTCACTGTGAAGTGATTCCCTCAGCCCAGGTGATGGAGCGAGTGAAGCTGGTCTCCTTGCCCACCAGTAGGAACTGGACCTTCGGGCCGGCTGACATCGAAGAGCTGATCTTCATGCTGAGTGACAGTCCGGGCGTCATGTGCCGCCCGTCCAGAGTCAGGCAGATGTTTGCTTCTAGAGCGTGTCGCAAATCAGTTGAGTTCAGCTCACTGTTAGCATGCTGGCACGCACACACACACACACCCACACGCACACACACACGCACAGACACACACACACACACACACACACACACACACACACACACACACACACACAGAGAGAGAGAACCTACAATTCATTATATCAGCTTGATGTTTGATAAAAGCCAATAGATTCCTTACACAGTTACGTTTTCTATGCAATACTGGTAGAGATAAATAATGAAAGTAAAAGTGTGAATGTTTTTCTGTGACAAACATTCAAGTGCTATTACTACTAATAAGGCTGTGACTCATGATTATTTTAGTAATTAATTATTCCAAATGTGCTAACAATCAGATAAACAAATTGGCACATTCTGCAGTTTTCATTTGACCACTTAAGTCTTTTTATACAATATTAAAAATACATAATAAGATGCAAATACACTAATAATTCAGTTACCTTTCATAATAACAACATAAACATCATATTGACTAAAATTCAATAACAGCGTCTCTTTAGAGAACTCTTGATCATGTGTAGCAAAACAGCTGCAGCTAAATAAAACCTTCTAACATCAACATGTGAAAAACTTTCTACTGCACTGAACGTTAATACAGTCTTTTGTCAGACCATCATTTTGTTGAGTTGTCTAACAACATGTAGACAGCTGAAAGAGTTTTTATAAATGTTGTTTTATGTCACATCGTTTTCTCAGAAACCTGATTGTTTGTTTCTGCTGGTATCCGCCTCCAGGTGATGATCGGTACAGCGCTGAGTGTCGGAGAGATGAAGAAGCTGGTGATTCACATGGGAGAGATTGAGCATCCATGGAACTGTCCTCATGGCAGGCCCACCATGAGACACCTCGCCAACCTGGAAATCATCTCACAGGACTGAGTCCAGAAATAGACTGAACACCTTTTTGATATTTTCCCTTTATACAGACCAGACTGTACATATAAATGTTCTGACTCTTCTGTCATAGATTGACCTTGTGAATGCTAGTTTTTATTTAGTTTGATTTTGTTTTTATAAAATAAATTGTATTATTTTTTTTTATCGTTATATCCAATAAATAATGCACAAACAGATGCTTCTTTCTCTTGTTGAACTGAGATAACAGATAATTTATTATTAACAATGTAAAGAAGTAATTCTGAACGAACAGTGAATACAACTGGGATATTGACTGATAACATGTCAATTAAAGAGTCCTGATTTGTGTTCAGAGCTGAGTCATTTTTTCTCGCTAGTCAGTTAAAAGGTTATTGATTGATTTCCAGTTAGAGAGGCTGTGGTAAAATTTTGATTGATTGGAAGTTAATTGATGTAAAGATAAACATAAACTTTTACTTATAGAAGTTATGTTCTTTTTAATGTACTTGTTTTTTGTCACAGCAAACGTGAACAAGTGTTTTTTTTTTAAATGTCAAGTTTAAGGGCAAAAACTAACCTTGTAGGCTGTTTATATTGATGTAATTATGAAGCGAAGTGAACGTCTAGTATTTAAATGTAAAAAGTTTCTGGCTATGCTTGATTATGCGTACAATTTAAAATGAACAGCTTACAAAGGTTAAAAAAGGAAGAGCTTCTGTAATTAAGTTTCGTTAGTTTTGCGCTTTTTGGCTGACTTAGGCTGCCGTAGTTAGAAGCTTTCTCGACCGTTACCATAGAGACGTTTCAAGTCGTTGGAGATCCATAAAACGCAGGACATTTGAGGGAATAAACTTGGCCATGGAGGTTTTAAATGAGCCCTGCGACGAAGAAATATGTATAGAAGCAGAAATTAAAAACAGCGAGAATAGCGGAGAAAACGTAGATGAAAGTGTGTTAAGTTTATCAGATAGAGTAGCTAATATTCTGCTGCGGGACTCAGAGAGTAAAGACCGAACCCAGACCGAAGACATTTATGAACTACCTGATATCATTTGCCTGAAAATACAAAGGTAGCTCAAAAAGTTCTTCACATTTAATAAAATGTCTAAAAACGTTCTCAAATTGTAATTGCTGATAAACCTCTGAATGTAGAAAAGTTCACTTTTTCAATCGGATTTGACAAAATGACAGCGCAGGCCTCAGGTCATATGGGGCCTTAAGCAGGTTTACATTTGGGGCCCCTGGTTCTGGTGGAATCTGGGGGGAGAAGGTGTGGGAAAGGCAAGTTGAACTGATTGAGATTAAAAGCAATTAGAGACTGTTTGATATCTCTTGTTTAGATATGTGTGAATAAACTGAACACAAAGAAGATTAAAAACAGCAACAGATTGTAACTACATTTACAAAACAATGGAAAGTTACTCTTTGTGGTAAACTTGTCAATTCCTTTATATCTCAAATAAGAATTCTAAGCAGTTTAAAAACTTGTTGTTCTGTGCTGAAAATATACTTTTGCAAATTTAATAATAATCTCATTCGAAGTACAACTGCAAATGTTTACCTTCATGGTCTGTCTTGAAATTCATCCATGTATGAGAGTCCCCTGATTGTTTGGGGGCCCTAGGCGTCATCATAATTGGCTTGTGTGTTGGACTAGCTCTGCTTAAATAGAGTGTATAATGTTGTCAATGTCGACAGCTACAAAGGAGAAACCATGAATGGACAGATCCATGGAGAAGGTGTTGCTTCTTTTGACGGAGGACATGAATACAAGGTGCATTGACTGGCACACAAAAAGTTGGATATTTAGATTTGTCTTCACGTTACACACAGTCATTTTCATTTAATTTGATTAACCAGTTATGTAAATTGTTTTTGTGAAGGGAATTTTCTCCAAAGGACTCATGGAGGGATATGGGACCTTCACTCAGGCAAATGGAGTGAAATATGAGGTAGGTTCCCTAAGTGATGCATGTAATCACTTCCTAAACAAGTGGATTTAATCATTGTATCTGCTCAACAAGAATGTCAAAGTGAGTTCAAATTTTCAATGTTGGCAGGGAGACTTTGTGGGCAACTTGCCAATGGGCAAGGGGACTTTCACATGGCTCGATGGTAGCACCTATACAGGGGACATCAGCAGAGGTATAAGACATGGAATGGGAACCTACAAATGTCCTAGAACCGGTATGTCTTACAGTGGGCAGTGGGATCAGGGAAAGAGGCATGGAAAGGTAGGATTTACTCATTGTACTCTTTCTCCTCTTTTTAAATGTCTTTGTTTTCTCCACACAGAATGTCAAAATTACTGAATATGCACAGGCATGTACACACACCACTGATGTTTGAATAAATGTTCCTTAGTAGTTCACAGAGATATGATAGACTTTTGTTGCCACCAACAACCGACTAACACGGTGGTGGTTGAATAGTTGATTGCTCTTCTTCACAGATTTTGTAGAGCTCATTTAAATGACCAGACTTTTTAAATGTGGACCTCAGATTTACAGCCTAAAATTAATCCGCTTCATCCAATCCGAAAAACGTTTTGGGGATAATTTTACTGCTGGGCTGCTTCACCATGCTCTGTAAATTTAAACTTGTGCATCTGGTCCTTTTGTAATCAATACTTTGTACAATAAATAAAAGATAAATTTAATGTTAATCTGACACGTATCCACATGATGGGTGGATGTCAGCTTTTGACCTGGACTCTGTTTATTTAGGGTAAAGTGTTTTATGATAAGAAGCAGACCTCCTGGTATGATGGGGATTGGGTGGTGAACAAGAGAGAAGGGTGGGGAGAGAGGGGGTAAGTGTCTCATTGATCAGTTCCTAGCTTGTAGTTGATATTAGTGAGATAATATTAAGTGGGTTTTAACAGTTACCCGTCTGGAAACACATACACTGGTGAATGGAGGAACAATCTGAGGCATGGAGAGGGAACTATGAACTGGACCAAACTGGGACAGCAGTATGTTGGGAGCTGGAAAGATGGAGTGCAGGTATGAAAGTTACATTGTGAACTGAACATATATAGATACAGTAATTTGATAAAAAAATGTTTCTATTAACCCTCTAACCGCTGACCTGGAAAGAACCTGCTGGAATACTTTTGTCATTTTGGAACAATACCATATTTTAATGTTTATTACGAAGTGGATTGGAATCTTGGTTCTTTGTCTTTCAGCATGGTTTGGGCACACACACCTGGTTTTTGAAGCGCATTGATGGATCTCAGTATGCCCAGAGTAACCAGTACAGGGGGGAGTTCTTTGAAGGTCAGCGTCACGGAAAAGGAATCTTTTACTACGCTGGTGGTGCGATCTACAGAGGAGAATGGAGGAACAACAGAAAACACGGACAGGTTAGAACTCACCTGAGAAATATAGAGGCTTTAAAAATGAACTGAAATCTGGATTATAAATCAGATGCAGACTCTGATAAATGTGTTCGTACCCATGGTAGACCCGTTACAGTTTCTACTGGAGTCATGTAATCTCACTCTTCCATATTTTGTATTTAGTATTTATTATCGGTGGCACTAACAGTGTTTTTAAAATGAAAGCTTTACTTTTAGGTTAGATTGTTTACTAGCTGTGTATATAAAAATATCACTTTGAGGATGATCCACTGCTGACTGTAATAATTCATCTTTACCAGTGCTGTCAATACATTTGCTAGAAGAAATGATCTTGTCGGCAGCTACAGATGAAGCTACTCAAATCTCCCAGGAATAGTTTGGATCATTTTGCTTTCATAATATTTGAAGCGTTCTAAGATGTGTGTGTCCCTCGGATTCCAGGGCAAGCTGACTGCGAGGAGTGGGCGTGTTTTTGAATGCGAGTTCGATGACGATCTGATTTTATCCAGCTCGAATGAAGACAGAGCTCCACTGCCCCTCGGTAAAGAAACGCCTCATTTGAACGAACGTTCAATATACATTTCACAATTTTCATGGTTTTACAGTCGGCGTCGCAGGCATCCTTCCGCTGTCAGACAACGACTCCAAGATACTGGGGTGTGACATGGCTTTCAATATCCAAGTTCTCTTGAAAAAGATCCCGCAGAGAGACCGTGAGACTGAGCGCCTGAAGGTCAGCTCCTCCGCCGTTGTGACGTCGATCCCTGGCTGTTTCCCGCCTCACGCTGTGTCTGTGCTGCCTCAGGTGGAGTCTGTGGTGATGAGCAAACACGTGGAGCTGAGGCTCATCTTTGGTTTCTACAGCAGACTCGGCAGCTCCAGTTCTCCCGACAACATCTTCCTGCTGTCCCACCTGCAGTTCTGGCGCCTGTTCAAGGACTGCAACATCCACCGTCACGGCGTGACGCTGGCACAGATAGACCGTTTGATCAGAGGTGAAGGAGTCTGGTTTGTAACGATCTCTATCCAGGATGAGTTTGCTGCTGCAGACGTTTAGGAAGCTTGTTCTGCTGTCTTCCTTCTGTGTTTCAGATGAGGGAGGTGTAGCAAAGACCCACTCGCCTTTCACATTCATGCCTCTTCATGAGTTTCTCATGGGTCTAGTGACGGTGGCCTACTACATCTACAGGGAAGATTTGGTGTAAGGAAAACATCTCCTCCAGTAGATATTACGTAAAAACATTCAGCTTCAACCAAAAGTGTCACATATTGTGAAGAAAAAAGAAAATCATTTTTTCAAGAACCCTTCTCAGAAATAGCATCCTCTTAGCATGATGCTGCCACCACCGTGTGTTACAGTTGGAATGTGCAATTTTAATATTCCAACATATGAATTTTGCATTCATCTGAATGAAGTGTCTTCCTCCATATTGTTACTGTGATCAAAAGTTCAAGCAGTGTAAATACTTAAGCAAAATAACTTACATTTACTTATGATCCAACTGGGTTTAGAAGGAGAATCGAAAGGAGACGATCCGAAAGAAATGTATGAAACTGAACCAGGAAACACTTTTAATCCTGCTTTTCATCATGTCAAAGAAAACATGATGAAATATTAGTCACCGTGAGAACTTTATAAAAAATAAAAACATGACGTCTTCTCTGTTTGGAGGTCCAAGAAGCACCTGTTGGCCGCCTGCTTTTCCAAACTGATGACGGACGACGTCCTTCCAAACGCCAGGAATGTAAAAGGTGCTGATTTATTTTACTGGTTCCCAAAATAAAACAGAACAGTGGAGAAATTCAGGTATAAGAGCCCCATCAAGGTATGTAGGCTCACACAAAAGTTCAAGACATATATTAAAACAAGAGTAACAATAATAATAGTAATATACTGCACAAAATTATAACATAAAAAAATTATCAGAAATAGAGGCGTCAAACTCCGAGCGACGTGCAACTCAGTCTGATGAGCTTTCTTTTTATGTACATAAGTAAGTACTTACAATACATCATATCAGTGCAGTGCAGAAAAAACAGAAGTGCAATAACAGCAGAAATTGCACTTCTACAATTGAGTAAATGACTGTAAATGCCATTTACTGAATAAACATTAGTAGAGTATTAAATGGTTGGACTCATACTAATACAAAGTCACTCCCATGTTACCTTTCATGTTGTCTTTAAGCTGATCTAATAACTGCAGCCTTTTTAACGCAGGCATCCTGTTCAGCCAGCCAGACGTCACAGCGGAGGCTCTGAAGTACCTCAACAAGTGCTGGGAAATCTTTCAGTATTTCTGCAGGATCTACTCAGCCCACAGCGACCAGACATGCATGACCTGCAGACACCTGCTGTGGATATTCAAGGTGCCACAAGCTGCACACATATCAATCAATCAATCAATGAGATTGCACTTAAGCACTTGGTCATTTGTGGCAGAGTATGCAACTGCAGCTAAAAGTCATTCTGACATCATCATGTAGAAAGCTCAGCCCTTTCTACTCACTGACCTGGTGATTTGATTTTTTTGATTCATTGGAAAGCAAAAGCAATCTGTATAGTCCAATTAATAATTAATGAATTACTAAATTGGTTGGTGATTATTGCATAAATTAATCCAACACCATGAATAGGGTTAATGGTTTCAGTCCTGGTTGCTGGTTTTCCTGCATGGCTTGTAACAAACTGCAAATGGAACTGCTCTCCTTAAAACCCATGGCAGTGAAGCATCGTTCTCCCTGCAGATTGTCTCTGCAGCTCCTCCAGTCATTTTCAGATGATGGACTGATATAATGTAGATGGTTTATATAATCAAACCCTTTAAGAACCTCTCTACCATCCTCTGTGGGCTTTAGATTTAGTCTTCAGTTACCGTCTCCTGCCCTACAATATCTCCAATACATGGCTAAGGCTTTATATTGATAATGTTCTGCTACCTTCCCAGGACCTCAGACTGTTTGATCAGCGGCTCACCACAACAAAATTACTGGAGATCCTCATTGCAGAGAACTGTCTCAGCAGCACCTGGCCTTCTCGTGTGGAGCTGGAGGTCTGCCTCTCTGTTTCCAGTCACAATTCTCACAATGTGCTTCATTTAGCGTTTCTTCACTAATGCTTTCATGCTGATCTCATCTGTAGATTGTGTTCCTGGAGTTTTTTGAGGTGCTTTTGGACTGTGCAGAGTTAAAGTTCCAACAGGTTTCTGATACGCTGGTGGAAAGCGTGGTCCAGATTGTGACAAACAGCCAGACGACAGAGAATTCACCTGAGGCAGAAGAAGACTCCAGGGAGGAAGCAGAGGCTACAGCCGAACATGTCCAGGAAGTGAGAATCTTTCTTCTCTAAACCGTCCTACATAAATAAAAATTGTATGAGTAATAAAAATTCCTGTGGAGACGAGTGTTTCACAGTGTAATATGCAAAATTCACTTTTTAAAAGTGTTGAAGTGGGAAACCAGATGTTGATATGATCAGCACCTATTCAATATTTTTCAAACCTGGGCATTAATAATTGATTTTCGTTTACATGGAAAAAGCAAAGCTACTTGCCAGAAGTTACTGTTGAATTGATTAAACCTACTTTAGATATAGTAGGTATCTAAAGTTCCATATTTGTTTTGTATTTTGTTGAAAATCACAAAAAAGCAAAGTTGCTTCACATTCCCTCTGATGACATCACATAGGGTTAATGTGACCGGTGGACCTCTGCGTTGTGTGCTACATGGTGATCGGACAAACCACAAGACACCAAGTCTGAGTCTCTGTTTATTAATCTGTCAATCAGGAGATATTAGCATTAGCACATAGCATGTGCTCCAGTTCTCCAACCCCCATCTCTCCCCAGTGCAACGAATAAGAGCCCAGCTGACATACCCGTCATTAATAGAGAAGGAAAAATAAACATTTGAACATAAATTAAAGAATTACACTGGATTATAAAACTTGCTTCAGTAGAGTAACAAAAGAGAAGAGAAAATTAATAACTTAATATTTATAATAGTCCTGGAGGACCCTGGACAAAAGGAAAGTGGAGCTGGAGGAAGGACAAAACCCTTATGGTAGACACAGAGGAACACAAGGACAGTCAAGTATAAGTGGACAAATACAGTAAAGAACAGATTTTATGCAAATATACAACTATTAATATAAACCCAGTTACACTAAAGCAAATAATTCAGAAACTAGCACGTCTGGTGTCACCTTTATACTTGTGTTTCTTATGATGTCATCAACCCAAATACAGGATAGAATTAGCACTTTTCCTTCTGGAAGCTTTTTTTTAAAACATATTTGGTGAAATTATGCAGTGGAAGTCCAGACTTCATTACACAGCTTGTGTTTATCCATTTTTGTATAAAAAAGAAACTGTACTGGATGCTGTTTTAATACTTCTGATCAATATCCCCACAAATAGTCACCATAAACTAACTAATCATGTTGTTGTAGGAAGAAAATGACACTGGGCCAAAAATGGAACGTGAGAAAAACAAAGCTGAAGCGCCACAGGAACCACAGCCTGCAGGTCCAGCCCGGTTTAGTTGTGCTGCCTCCATTTGCAGTTTTAGAATTTTGTTTTAAAAAGCTCAATTTTGTGATTGCCTCAGAAATCATCTGCAGGAATGTTTCATTCAGCAAAAAATTGGTCTGACTACTTCTGTTTCTTCTTTCTAGAGTTCTTAGAGGGTCAGAGCGAGGAGAAAATGAGTGAACATGAATCCAGAGACCAACAAGAACCAAGCACCATCCAGACTATCCAACAGTTTTTCACACACTGCTTCTTCCCTGCAGTTGAACATCACATTTTGGTTACCAGGGAGATGGAGAAGCTTGCTGAGGAAGCACAAAACACCAAAGTATATCACTTTATAGAAAACTAAAGAAAAGATGTTTTAATTCCTAAAATAACACCATCATGGGTGGTTAAACTAATGATGGTTAGATTTATATTTACTGTAATTTCCAAACTTTTTTTTTTAATACTGGCTTAAACAATGCATAAGTATTTTTATTCATTTAAATGTCCCAACCGTTTTGTTCCGTTAACAAAATGATGCTCATCTTCTATCATTGCGTTGCAGGAACCAGAGCCAATAATAAGCTTATCTGAAGATCAGGAACCAGAACCAGAACCAGAACCAGAACCAAACGACCCTTGACATCTTCAATGAAAGAAAAGCTTCTGTTCAGTGTTTATTCTCTCCAATGTATATTTTAAAAAAATCTTTGGAAAAGCTGGTATGTTATAGAATGTTAAGCAAATCCAGAGACAGTTTGCAAATACAATCTTTATTTAATTCAAAATAAGTAAAATTTTCTACTGAATATACAAAACTCAGATTTTTCTTTTTCCCCAGACTACTTCTGTTTCTTCTTTCTAGAGGAGTTCTTAGAGGGTCATAGCGAGGAGAAAATGAGTGAACGTGAATCCAGAGACCAACAAGAACCAAGCACCGTCCACCCAGCAATGTTTTGACAGAACATGTCAAAACATTGTTCTGTTTTGACATGTTTAAGTCAAAAACATTGTTCTGTTTTGACATGTTTAAGTTAAAACAGAGCAATGTAAGAGAAACTTTTACATGTTTGGAGGGGTGAAGACCATGAGGTCACTTGGACAGGTGGACAGACGTGTCCGGTCCTTCAGGTCCGGGGTGAAGAGCAGCAGGGCCGACTGCGCAGTCTGCACCTACAAAGATGACAAATAGATTCAAAATGAAGGAAACCAGTACCAGAATGGATTAGTTATTCATTATTAAAGCACAAAGAACTTTTGTGCACTGGTTTAAGTTAGTATTTGTTTTTGTCTAAAGAAAAGTCAAGAAAAAAACAACCAAACTGACCTGTAGTGATTGAGGACTGAACACTGAAGACACCGCTGAGAGCTCTGCTGTGACAGATGAGCAAAACATGGGAACAAAACCCAAAGCAGTTGAGAGAAAAATAAATAAAACAATTATGCAGAAAAATAATTAAATATATGTAGATTTGATTTTTGGTTGCAATTTTAATAAATTGTTTCCCAAAGTTCTTCATACAGCTCAAATTTTGTCACTTATGTAATCTTTGGGGATTTAAATAAAGTAGCTAAAGTGGAGGGAAAAGAATCCTTGCAGTTCGGTTAAAAATTAACAGTTGTAACAAATAAATGAAATCAATTTAGCATCTTCCTGCGTAATGAAGCTTTAACCAGGGGAAACCTTTAGTCAGTGCTCATTCAGCGTTCTTCATACCCAGCTCCTCAGGTTGTCCTTTAGGACTCTCCATTTCTATAGATGACGACATCTCTATGGCAACAGTGTCCCCCGGTGACATACTGCATCTCTGCGACGGCTGGAAATAACGTTCAAAGTCCAAACCAGGAATTTCCTGCATTTAAATCATCAGAATAAAATCTGATTATCACATAAAAAGAACTTTGTTTTGATAAATATTTGGACCAGACCTCAACGACTGAAACATCTGGAGTGGGAGAGCTGGACGGCTGGGTCTCCATGGGAACCTGGTGGGATGGGGGACGGGCTGGTGGTTGGACCGCAGGGGTTTGACATGGAGACGGGCAAAGTCTGACGTTGATGACATTACTGGGTTTGTTTTCCACAGAAAGAGTTGAAAGGTCTTCCGACACCGCTTCCTGCTCAGAGCACTGGTTGGGACTCGTCTGGTTCTGGGGCTCGTCTGAAGGAACTTCCATCTCAGGAGAGCAGCAGAGAGAAGCGTTCTGCTTCTGGGAGACATGAGGAGCTTCTTGCTGGGATTTGTAGTCCAGGTGTTTCTGTGCAGAGTGGACAGGCTGAGCGGGGGGAGCAGGAACAGGGGTCTGGGTCAATGCAAGGGAGTGGCGGGTGACTCTCCGGGGTGAGGGGTAACCTGGAGCAGGGGAAGCCTGGGGCAACACCGTCTGGGGCAACACCGCTGCGCTCAGGCGGCTGGATCGCCGGGCTGACAACACAAACATATGCGCCAATTAGAAAGATGATTCTAAACAATAAAGCATAAAGAGGTGAACCTGTATTGTCGCTCACTTGATGGTGTGGCCGGGCTCTCCAGCTGGGAGAGACCTTCCAGTGGCTCCTGCCTGCCAACAGCGCCCCCTGTGTCCTCTGCCTTCTCTGCATGCTGTCGGGCTTTCATGGCTGCTTTCACCGCCGCCAGGCGAGACTTGGCTGCAGCTTTGTTTCCTGTCGGCTTGGCGGTAACGGCCGAAGTTTTCTTTAAAACAATGAGTACACGTTAGGATTTTTAGTGGTTAGACACTGAGCTTCAGTACTGAAGGCTGTGCAGATAAACATGGGAGGGAAAGAGACACAAACAATAAACTAAACTGTCTGGTAAAGAGAAATGTTCACATTCTGCTAGCTATGTTTTATCTAGATATAATAGTTGGAAAGATTTTACCACATTAGAAGTTTTTCACGGCAAAGAACAACCAAATTTAAAATTTATTTAAAGAGATTTTTTTTTTTTTTTTATTACTTTTTGAAACCAATCCTGTGTGTATGATATTACTCTACGATGCATCAGAGGCACTTGTTTTTCCAGGACTGTTCTGCAGAGCTCACCTTCACCGCTCTCCTCCGTCGTGGGGGCGGCTTCAGCTCCTCCAACCAGCCGCGGCCCTCTGCTTCTCTCAGGGCATCAAACTTCCTGTTGATGTCTTCCACCTGGAAGGTAGCGCACATCTGGCTACACTGTCGCATTTGAATTCAAAACCACTTCCTGTCTGCCCCACAGAAGAACCGTACCTGGAAGTACACCATGTCCCAGAAGCCCTGCAGGTCGGTGCAGGTGGTGACCTTCTCTCCGCGGCTCAGCTCACAGTCGTCCACCAGGCCGCTGAACTGGTTGAAGCGCTCCTTCATCAGCAGCCTGGCCTGGCCTACTGCTGTGCGCATTCGCTCTCTCACTGTCAGAGAGTCACAGTGGCACTGAGTGAAAAACGGCTAAATGCCGACACGAGTCTGGGTCACTTCAGGGTTACACTCACTCTCCTCTGGGATGGTCTCGTCCTCCACTCTGGACTCCCAGCGGAGACAAAGGTCTGTCAGTCTGTCTGTCTCGGACATTTCTGATCTGAATGAACCAGAAACCAAAAGATGCTTCAAGTCTCCCATCTTTAAAATGAGAAAGAAGAGAGTGGTGAATTTAAAGTGCCGCTACCTGAAGTAGGACACGTCATGCTTTGACTCATGTGGGCTGGCTGAGGTCGGAACGCTGCGCAGGGGAGAGCAGCCGGGAGGCTTGGGGGGAGTGGGCTCTACAGGCTCAGCTGGAGGTTCATCACTGAACACTGGTGGTGGTGGGAGAGTGAAACTGGGCCTGGACAGAACCAGAGCACAGCATTTACATTAAAAACAAGCAGACATTGGTGAGAAGAAGAATTTCTGTTTGTCGTGGGTGAAAAACTGTCAGGATTTAAAGGTTTCTTATCAGTCAATATCAATAATTATTAGTTTTGTTTGAAATATCTGAAGTAGTTTTACACTACTTCAGACCAGAAGGTCTTCCTGTTTTATTCCACGTTCTCTCTCCATAACATTGTTTTTTTTAAACTGTTATGAGGCACAAAACCTGAAACTGCTGCTGAGCAGGTTCCAGATAGGTTGTTGCTAAGCAATAAAGAAAAACAGCTGTGAGAAGCTAAGCAACTAAAGCCAACAACCCTAACTCCCAGAATGCTGTGCAGTTCTAGATCAGAGTTCAGTGAAACTAGTATATTTTCTATCAGATGCATTGTCTATGGATATTCATCACATCTATTGCAAAATGTTTATTTTCCAGCCCAAGTTTATATAAGGAGAAATGTATCCCCAGCTCCACAGTAACAGCCTCCATTTCCCGCTCAAATGTTAACATTTCTGCTACATCCAATAACCAGCATTGTTTACATTTCTCTACCCATTTGACACTGAAAACACACAGAGCAGACTTCATGTAAACTCCCCACCATCCTGCATGCATCACTATCACATGACCAACTTCCTCTCCTCACACACCTAAAACTGGCAACAAGAGGGAAAAACACATTGGTTATTGGAGCTACGATGTTGATGCCTCAAACCAAATCAGAACATCAATCACCTGGGAGTGAAGAAGGCCTCTGCTGATCGGGGGGTGAGAGGATCAAACTTGAAGGCCGACAGGCCGGCAGGGGCCTGAAAGATGAAACCGTCTGGGGCAAATGAAGGAGCAGCAGAACCCGCAGCAGAACCCGCAGCTGGGGCGGCTGCCTCTGGAGCTGGGCTCACCGCCGTGGCTCCGTCCTCACGGCCAGGCGTGGGGCATGGAGGACAAACGGTTTTCTCTTGTTCCTGGACCGGAGGTTCAGTGACCTCAGCTTCCTACAAAAAGGAAAATGGTTGCAAACAACCTGATGTGTGTCTGTCTGACTTTAATCTCACTGTAATCCTGTGTTATGGAACATTAAGGGAGAAGACTCACCATGTGCTCATCAGGCTGGACTGTGGTGCTAACAGCTGTGGAGATGCAAACACCAGAATTCATATTTTAAAAGACTTTTTATGCACATATACTGTTTTTAATGAGCTTGTATTTATTTTACGCCTTTCTTTCATTATGATTTGATGGTCGTTCTGAGTTTTTATTGCAATTTGGCTCTTTGCTGCTGAATTAATGTATCTATCCTAAAGTTTTTATCAGTCTTAAAGGGGCAGTATTATGTATTTTTCAGACAGATAGTGCCATCTGATAATCAAGTCACCATGTTACCATCAGCAGTTATACAAATGCAGAATTTAAGGTCATTAGATGCCTTATAATTAGGCTTGTCTCTTTAAAAACTGCACTTTCAGGAAGTTGTTGGATTCTCCATTAACCCTTTAACAATTATTATTATTATTTTTTTTTTTTTTTACCAGAGTTGAAATAGAAGTAACTCCCATAACAAGCTCAGTAAATGCACAGGTCCATTTGATGTTTGCTAATTACTGCTGGCTAGTCTGAAGGAGTTGAGAGGGGGAGCAGTGGGGAAGCCTGCTCTGTGAAGTGGAAGCTTGGAAACTGCAGCACCGTCTCAAAGGCGGGGCTAGATCCACCCAGCTGTTTTACACAACTGAATGGTTGCCATGGAAATTGAAGGATTTCTAAAACATGCATGAAAGAATTGAGGCAACACTCCAGGTACGTTTTTGATGATGAAACATCAAAACATGACAAATAGATAAAAAAAAAAAAAGTTGATTTGACATACTGCCCCTTTAATGCATGTCAGACATTTAGGAAAATAATTTGTACCTTTACAGTTCCTTCCTTCTCCAGGCGAGGGCAGCAGAGGGTTGACAATTGCTATGTTCCTTGTGGTTCTTCCGTCTGAGAACAGAGACAGACTTTACATATTCAGTTTTCAGGACCAACCAAATCAAACAGCTCGTTAGCAGCAACGAGGAAGCCTGTGATTGTGTAACGTACCTCTGGCCTTAGGATTGTCTTTCGCCTGAGCCTGAGCTTTAGTAACCGGAGGCCTGTTGGCCGATCTGGTCGATACTGCTCGACCGCCTGGCCCTGACGCAGCAGGACAGCCTGACAGACACACAGATTGACATGCTAATATGGAAACACTATAGCTGCTGCTGAGGCGGGCGTCCCGTCCAGAGGGTTACCTGCACTGGTCTTGGTGGCAGCGGAGGGTTTGGAAGCAGCAGCACGGCTCCTGGTCGGGCGCTCAACGCCTGGCTGGACTGAAAAGGAAGAAGGGAAGCTGTCAGTTAACGACTCAGATGGATCTGAAACATCATGGAAGAGTTGGAGTCATCCAACTCAAAGGAAAGGTTGTGACACACACTACTTAGACTTTGATGATTACTGGTTACATCCAAAGAAAAAACCAAAATTTTGTTTCTCAAAACATTTGTATCACATGACACCCATGAAGGATTTCAATACAGAAACAGAGTAGTGAGTCTGTTGAGCAGATGTCAGCAGTTCCATTGTTTTCCATTACATTTCTTTAGTACAACTCCTGGTCTTACTGATATAACATTTTCTGAAAACCCCAAAACATTTAAAATACATCCCATTGTGAGCAACAATTTAAACAATGAGTTACACATTTTTTAACTTAATCACCAAAATAAATTAACCTTATGATATGCTAATGCATTAAGTTCCACTTTGAGAAAGAGGTATCCTGATCTGGTAACTACATCAGAAATCAGTCCAATATCAGCCAAAAACCAGGAATGGGATCATATCAGCCTGCATAGAAAATCTCTGATGCAACATTAACGCTGATGGAATCGCTCCATTCCAGCAATTAGTCTGCTCCAGAATTTCTGTCCTGCAGGCACTCAGTTAATAAGAAGTGGGTCAGTTGTTCTCTGAGTAACATCACTTGATCAAGACTTTCGTAACATTCCACTACATAAATTAAGTAATAAAAGTATATAATTCATACTGATATCAGGACAGATCTACTTAGGGACGCAGAATGTGTCGCCTCTGATATCAGCATCAACTAATAGTCACATTTTAACACACTGGTATCAGTCTGATAAATAAAACTGGGTTGATATTAAGAACCGATTTATTTCCATTTTGTTGCTTTGTGTTTCTGGAGTCACAGGGGAGCAAAGTGATCATGTGGCATTTGATTGGTCATGTGACAGAAATGCAGCAAAGGATTGTGGGAAGTTCAACTGATGCAGTGGTGAAGTCAGTGCTGTGGTTGTTTTAATCAAGGTTTTGAAAGAGTAGCAAAATACAATGTTGGTGAATATCATGTTCATATTCTACATATCAATATTAGTGCATCCCTTGTTTCACTTGAAGGTGATCTTGTTAAAATAAGATGCTTGCTCCTGAATTACCTTTGTTCACCCGAGTGTTCTGATGCTGCTTTGCCAGAGGCTGTAGAAACATTTGCAAAAGAAGAGCAATAAAATATGTGTCATATTTTACTTTGTGTATTACGGGTGGATATGAGAAAATCTTCAGGATCAGAATTGGAGGACTTACCCTCTGTGGTTCCTGCAGGGGCTGTTTCATGGAGCGAGTGACTCTGCTGCTCGGGGGTGGAGCTATGTTAACTTTTTTCTGAAAGAAAGCATTTATTTTTAGTCAAAATAAAAGTCTAAAAATAAATACTCCTCTAATGTATAAACAGAAGCCAGCTGTGCGCAGGATGGGTAGATCAGCACCTCTCTGGAACTGGATGCAGCAGACGGGACGGGAGGCAGCGGAGCAAAACTGAATGGGTCTCTGGGTTGATAGAGGCCAGTTTTGAACACTCTTTTTGACTCTCTCTCTCTTTTTTCCTTTTCCTTCTTCAGCTCTTTCTGCTCTTTCCATTTCTGCAACTGCTTCAGCCTGTCTGCTGCTGCAGCTGTAGGAAAACACATTTCGAAAGCCACAATTAGTGGCAAAGAAGTCCAAAGAAGCCAAGAATTCAGAATATAACAGATTTTTAAAGCATCTCTGGAGATGCCTATGTGTGGAAAAGTAAGCTCATACTGTTGGCTGGTGTGGCTTTGATCTGTGTCTCCTCCTGAACAGTGGACATGCTGGTAGTCACCATGGAGACGTCCTGGGAAGACACGTCCGCTTCTGGCAGTTTGTCCAGCTGCCTGCGAGTGTTCACCATCTGCTCCCGGTTCTGTTTTTGGCATTGAGATCTCCGGCGTGACTGCTTCACTCGAAGCATTGACACACTCGTGTCTCGCCGCCGAAGGTCAGCAAACCTAGACTCCATTTTTGAGAGATCTGCAGGAATGACAAACAGAACGCATCCGACTTTCAGCTTCCACAAATGTTGACGAAATAAAGGAAATCTTTATTTCGCAAGCTGCCATGATCAAAAGGTACAGCGTGTATGGAACATGGCAAATAGTGGAAAAATAAATATTGGTTGAGATGTGGCTGCCAATAACTTCATGTTCCCTTTCCATAGATGACCCAGTTGGTCCTGGCTTTAGGTGTTTGACTCTGTCTCCACACTATAATACTTTACCACATCAAATTATAACTGCTTATCATTTTCTCTTTACTTTTTTTTATTTGGATTCAAAATACTTCTGGATGAGTGCTTCTTTGTTTTTGTGCTTCTGCTCTGTTCACTAAACCCCCAGTTGGTTCTGGTGCTGCTGGAGGCTTCTTCCTGTTTAAGGCGAGTTTTCCTCTCCACCGTGTCTCTCTCTTTAAATATATCCATCTAGATCTATACATATATATATTTCTTAAAATTGTACTCAGTCATAACAGCCATTCTTCAACATACTTTTACTCAACTAAAGGTAAAAAGTAGCTATTTTCACGAGCAAATGTAACTACTTACTACTACTAACACATCTCTCTGGATTTGAATCCAAATCAGCTGATCAGCCCTTATATGGCAAGACGGTCTAAATTAACTCAAACTTGCTGCAGTAATTTAACAACAATAAAATTAAACTAGAATATACTTATTTATAGTGGACGACCAAAGATAACTGAAAGCTAGCTAAGCTGCCCAATCATTGAAAACTAAACTAAACAGCAAGCCTTATATACCTTTAACAGCCACCAACAAACACACAAATACTGAATTAATACTCTACCTGCTGTTCTCTCTAAGAAAAATGCTCAAAAACAGTGTCTTATTTTCAAAATAACTTACATTTCTTTCGAGCCCAACGAACAGTGAGCGGAGCCTGATTAAGAAACATAACAATGGCGGTTGAATTTTTAAAATTCTGTCAGTGACGCTGATTGGCTGCAATCAGCGTCTATGGCAGACAGCTGTTCTGATTGTCTGTTCTGATTGGTGCGTCTCATCTTCCTCTTTTTCTTGGTGAATATTCAGAGGTGCATACTGCCACCTACTGTACATGTTCATCCCCATAGCACTCTGTTTTTTGTTTTTTTTACAAAAATACTTTATCATCCTGATTTTTTTTCTCTTTATTGTCTTTTGTTGCCAACATTCATTTTAAACCATTCTGTGGGAATCACTAACTTAAATACAGAATAGTCTATAGGAAGTTTAGTTTAGCTGGATAATATTTGTTCCAGTAGTACTGTCTGATATGAATTCGATTCCAAAATCGATCAGGACTTAGAGTTAAGAACTATCTTTTCAATATATTCCCCAAATTGAGTGTTTTCTATATTTCAGATACAACTTTACCACATCAAATTATAACTGCTTATTTGTTTCCAATGAATTGTAATCAGATATACTATTAATTGGGGCACTAATAAATGTACAGTGACAACAAAATATCTGGCTAAAAAAAACATTTTCACTGAAGTATTTCACAAAATACAAAGTATCACAAGTAGTATAAAAACCAAGCTGCTGTTTAAACATGGTAGTAAGCCACAACTTCTTTCTACAGTAATCTACTGTGTCCAGGAAATTAAGCTTACTGTTAATAGTGACCCACAGATGCATGTTTCACAGCCTTTACTTGTGATTTAAAGCCAAGAGTAAAATGCAATTTATCAGTGACACTTGAGAAGTGGGACAAAATGGGTTTATAACCTCTTCCCCAAAATGTAATTATTCCTCAAGTTTATGTAAAGAAATATGACAAATAATGTTTTGAAATCATAAAGATGCTAAGGTGCAGGTGGTAACATTTTTTTGAAAATTAAATTTTTAATGGATCTGACCCAGAACTTTGTCATCACCATCTGACAAAAATTCATATACAATTATTTTTAATGACCCCAACAGTAATATTTTTACTCGGTTTCACAGACCCATTCTTCTCAAGAAACAAAATAATTATTATTTAAAACAAAAAACAACAAAGTCCATCTGAAGGAGTTGACAGAACTGTAGGTGGTGACAAACTAGTGAGAAAAAAGAAATGCAAGGGATTTTAGACACCATCCACCTCCTACAATGTTTAAAATAAAAAATATTCAGCAAACACCAAGAAAGGATACATTGTTGTGCTGACATGGCCAAGGTTAGTTTAGTCAGCTTTTGGAAAAATAAATATTTTGTGTATATTTTATTCAAATTTTGTGCTTTATCCATAGAATCTGTTTTGTCCTCTTCTCAAGAATCACTCTTATACATTTAGAAAAATTACTTCATTTATTATTTCAAGTTAGTGCAGTTGTATGCAACCCCTAACACTAGATCTGACATGATGACATCTTAAAACCGTAACTGATAACCAAATAAAAGTGGAATGAACACATCAGTACATGTCAGTTTTTAAATTAAAATGAGACAATTTTATCATGATCATAATCTCAATAAAAATATCCACAAATATATACGTGGGAACTTAAAACAGATGATCAAATCATACAAATATGTACAAAGAAAAGGAGATGCAGTACATGTAAAGTCAAATCTGTATTTTTTTTACAGGTAATTACAAGATAAAATTACACTTTTAGTCTATTAAATAAAAAACTTGGTGAGAAAGCTTTTCAACAATATTGTTTATTTTACAATGCAATTATTGCATTACGTTGATGCTGCCGCTGAAGCCCTGACAGTTTCTAGTGTGATCAGTTGCCATCTTGTTTGCTCAGTCCAAGAAGAAAATGTTGTTGAACTGCGTCGCACAAAGCCTCTTCACTTCCTCTGGAATTCAAAAATGAAAACGGATCAGGTTGAAAACATGACAGCGCGTTCTGGTTAGAATACACAACTGCACTTCTTGCTGAAGAACATACCATTTACTTCAATCAGATTGGCGTTCTTCTGATTTAGGATCACATAGAGCTCTCTCTGGTCCGACTTCTTGCCGACGACCCAGTAGTCTGTCATTGCTTTTACTATGATTTCCTCATCTTCGTCAACCCTTGAGAGCAGATTGATAGAAATCAGCACGAGAAAGTAAGTGCAGTTATGTTTATTGCACTTTGTGTACAAATAGATTTTTTTAGGCTTAAAGCTGCAGTATGTAACTTTGACTAGCAAAATATTTTTTGCATATTTGTTAAAACTGTCACTGTCTCATGACTGTATAACATGAAATTGATTTTGTGACTTTACAGCCATCCACAGAAATACAGCAGTCAGAAATACCCAATCAGAGCTAGGAGGAGGGTCTTAGTTCAGCTTTGTTTGCTCTGCTCAAGAGAAATGGAAGTAACTAACGTCTTGCTTTAGAGCGCCTTCAGGGGCAGCGGAGCTGGACGAGACAGTTTAGCCCCAACTTTTAAAGAAGATGGCAATGAGGAGAACTGCAGCAGGGATGATGCATGGCATTTTAGCAAAAGTTCTGCTGATTGGATTTGAGCATTTATGCTATTCTTTAGACTTTTCATAAAGCTTGAAATGTAACATCCTGGTATATTTCCAAAAAGCAAAAGATGCATTACCGGGTTTTCTGGCATTTTTCAGGTAGAAAGCCCTTTATTGCAAAAATGAAAAGTTCAAAAACAAACTAAAATCAAAAGGGTTACTGGTGCCATTTCATCAATAATTTTGAAAAACTTTTAAAAACATACTACATACAAGCTTGAAGGAGAAAAATCTCTCAGAATGACATGGCTCTCTGTGGTGTTCTCTTACAGGCACAGAGCATTAAAAGGTTGAGTTTCTACAACTGAAACTAATCACTTATATCTACTCTATGCTTTCAGGACGGAGCAGATCGGCAACATACCACTGGGGAATAAAAACACCACCTTTGATATTGGTGTTCTAAAGTTCCAGGATCTGCTGCTGTACCTTGCAAAGTCACAGTTGATGTCTCCCAGGATCTTCATGAGGTCAGGGTGGACCGAGGTCAGACACACAGTGGCGGTTTTCCTCATGTGAATGGTGCTCTTCTCCGCCAGGTTCATGTGATTAAAGTAGATGAACTTGAACTGAGGCTCCTTCTCCGGCCTACAGCAACAATATGGGAGACGCACAAACAGGACAGGATGGACCAAAACAGCTGAAAGTGAGTTTTAGCAGCAGTTTGTCGTTCCTCTGAAACTGGGATCAACTTGTTCTACTGCTCCAACAGGAAGTGCCTCGCTGAGTGGAAGGCAGCAGGAGCCCAAATTCAGGATGGAGATGTGAATGCTGAGGAATTTGGAACCTTATTATTTATTCAGCACATTCTTTACTAAGTTGATTACGAGGAGCCCATCGAATTGCCAGGGCCGGTCTAAGATTACAGATCTGGAGCTAACTGATGGGGTCAAAAGACACATGGACCAGGATGCCAGTCCTTAGTGCTGCCTTGCTTGAGTTACCGTTTAAGAGCTGCCATGATGAGCTGCAGTAATGTTAGAGTTCTGTCTGTGTCTGCCAGCCAGGCAGAGTTAACACATGATGACAGGTGATATTCAGAACTGGAATCACAAAGCTCTTGATGTAGCAACAGCATTTAAGTTAAAGCAGCATGCCAACTTTCCTATTTAATTGTTCCACAAAAAAACATTTCTCCTGCCCTGATAGGAGTCTTTTTTTTTTTTTTTTGCTATTAGGCTACAAATAATTACCTGGCCAATTAATTACCTAATTAGCCAGTTTGAGGAAGTAAAAAGCTGGTAAGTGTTTATGAAAGCTGGGTGTAATAATGTTATTTTAAAAGTGCTGTACATATTAAACATAATTTTAAAAAAATTGACCTTGTGATTTGATGCTTTGAAATTGCTCCTGTTCTTTTCGACACTGCCTTCAGTGCGCCATCACATCAATACTCCTCCGTGATGCCGTTTACAATGACCTACTGCTGTAAAGAGTGCAGTTTGTCTGCATCTTGCCAAGTGTATTCTATCCCAACATTAATGAAACAATATGCATGATTTTGATCAGATGTGGATCACAGAATATCTACAATAAACTATCGCTTTCCTTGCTTGCTACTATTATTACAGTCATTTATTGTATTATTGTTCAACAATGTTAAATATGTCTTTAAAAGCCCAAAATGAATATAACATTCATAGTCTTCATTATTAACATGTAAATATTTGACTGAGTTGTATTTGTGGACCCAAGAAGAAAAAGGCCAGTTTCAAGATTATTGGACACAGTTCATTTGTCACACTGAGGAATCTAAGACACTTTATGATAAGTTGCATGACTATTGTTATTCATGTTACGAGACACTGATACCACTGAGAACAGGAGTGAAACTAAATAAAACTATGTTTGTACGGTGGAGGAAGTGAGAAGCTGGCACTGACCCAGATATTCTGCGGTTTATTGTGAACTGTTCACATATATCTGATGCCAGCAGGGTCAGCTGGGGGCCCACCAAGCCGTCCAGCTGCTCACACAACTCCCTGGTCAGCTCCACATTAGCTGAGAAAAGATGGCGGAGGGAAGAAATTCAGTTGCCACAGGATAAAATGTCTGTCAGCTTAATACGAGGAACAAGAGCGCATGAATCCATTAAAATAAAAAAACAAGAAATAATGTCGCCTTTAACTTACCACTAATCATAAAACAAGCAGCGGCGCTCATCGCCTGCAATGGGGAAAAAAAGGAAGTAGAAAAACAACGGAAATCAGTGTGAATCTAGGTCAAAAAGGTTGAAAATTCACACTAATCGGATGATAAGCATTGCTGGAAGTACTTCATTTTAAAATTGAGCCATGTAATCCAGAAAAATCCATCCATAGAGAAGGAAGAGGTTTAATCCTACAGCTACCATAATAAACAAGAACCAAAATCCCCTCCATTACAGATTAGGTTCGAAAATCATCCTGATAATGAATGACCTGGTCACTGATACATTTATAATATGAGCAAATGGATCAACAGCAAAAAACAGTACAGAGTCAGGTTTGATTCCACACACCTTATAAACGATCAGATGCAGCTCCTCATATCCGTCTTCTGCACTCACAAATATTTTGGGGAATCGGAATTTGGCCTCTGGA